TTTGCATACCGTAATATAAATGGTATACTCAATGACTAGTAAGTAATCTAGGACTCTACAATAGCTGCACATACAAAACTGAATAACAATATAACTGCACAAAGCAATTAAACAAGGATGCATACACAGGTTTTCCAAAGCTGAACCCCAAAATGACTGTTTTGAGAAGGAATTTGTGCTGTGTGGCACTTAACATATCTGTAAATAAATCTTCAACTCCTTCACGTTCTTGGTGTTCATGAGACCTTGTATGAATACGTCCAGTCCCCCAAATCATGCAAGTGTTGTAGGATTAAATGATCAGTCATTGGGTCTATCCATTCCTGCCAAGCTGTATACTTTATTATAGTTGGTTTTATGATTGTAGGACCCAAGGTTTTATTAATTTTTATAAATCATTGGAACTGTGACATTAAACTTATTCTCTCAGGATGTCTGGTGACAGAGTAAATTCACTGTCTGTTTCTTTGAAATGCAATTTTTAAATCCGATATGAACCTCATAATTTTTGTTCAATGAAACAAAATATACTTTTCCTTGACATCGTTGAAAGACCATGTCGGGATTTAACTCTTTTCCAGTATGAATTGTTTTGCCAGCAGGTATCCACTGTGATTCTAGCTTGGTTAGGTAGGCATATGATTTTATTAGGAAATGTAATACAAATTATAAGATCTACCTGTACTAATACTAAACCATTCATTACTACATCTGGATAGCCAGCTTGTGATGTAGCACATGAGACTCTGTACCTGGTATACCTCAAGACATTTAGTAACTATTTTGACAAACACCACTAGATGGCAACAAAGAGGTGGCCCAACATGTTTTTATGTTTTCCCGTTGTGGCCCCGATCGACCACTGCTTACACAGTCTGTTTAATCTAGAATTTCTTATCTCTTACTAGACCCTGCATGAGTCTCCTGTGTGTGATCAAAGTTACATTTACAGAGAAGAAGATATGTCTAGTTTAAGTTAACATCTAAAACCGTTTTTTCCAATGCAGGCTGTGTGAGTCATAGCAAAGGGAGGTGTTGTGAAGGCTGCAGAAACAAAAAGTGATTTAACTCCTAACTGGCATAGAATTGAGCAGTGAGACTCAGTGGTGTATCCTGGTTTTGTGCTGCCCTAGGCAGGACAAAACTCAGGTGCCCCACCCCACCTTCTAAATACATACACACACACACACACACAGTCACTCACATTAACACTTTTTTTTATTTAACCCCCCCAGCCTCCTTACCTTTGGTAATGCTGGGTGGCGGGGTTCTCTTTCTCCCTGGGGGTCCAATGGCTGCCGGTCGGGCTGATGGGCTGGCTACTGGGCAGGTGGCTGGCGAGGGAGCACTTCCTCTGAGCACTCTACTCAGCTCCCTCGCGCGCCGCAGAGTGAGGCTGGGAGCCAGAATATGACGTATATTCCAGCTCCCAGCCTCACTCTGCGGCACGCGAGGGAGCTGAGCAGACCGCCCAGCATGTCAGCCGCAAGGCTAACTAGGCATTTGGGGGCGGTGTTTTTTGCCACCCCCTGGAAAATGCCGCCCAAGGCAAATGCCTTGATTCTGAAAAGGGGGCAGTAAGTGGGGCAAAAGTACAGTGTAGGCTAATCACCCCGAAATAGGGATCACTCCCAGTCCCAATTACAATACAAACAGAATAAGTATAGTTCAAAAAACATATAGTTAAAAAACATATACCACCGCGGGCGCCACAATCACAAACATGTGAATATATTTACCACATAGTATGCATGGGTATTCATGTAAAGAGATAAAAACAAAAATATATAGTGAAGTATTTAATAACAGGTAAAACAGAATAATAAAAAACGAATACACTCACAAATATAGTTGCACAACAAGGACATATGTCTTAATTGTGCTAAAGAAGCTTGTCAGCCCTTTCCTGGGCTAAAGTCCCCTCTCACTGCAGGATCCAAGTTTTCAAAGTTCCAGAGACTCCCAATGGTAATTCACTTGAAGCTGGATCTGATCCAAAAATACTGGGGACACTGGCAGGCTTCTCACCGCTCAACGCGTTTCGTCCGATCGACTTTTTCAAGACTTGAAAAAGTCGATCGGACGAAACGCGTTGAGCGGTGAGAAGCCTGCCAGTGTCCCCAGTATTTTTGGATCAGATCCAGCTTCAAGTGAATTACCATTGGGAGTCTCTGGAACTTTGAAAACTTGGATCCTGCAGTGAGAGGGGACTTTAGCCCAGGAAAGGGCTGACAAGCTTCTTTAGCACAATTAAGACATATGTCCTTGTTGTGCAACTATATTTGTGAGTGTATTCGTTTATTATTCTGTTTTACCTGTTATTAAATACTTCACTATATATTTTTGTTTTTATCTCTTTACATGAATACCCATGCATACTATGTGGTAAATATATTCACATGTTTGTGATTGTGGCGCCCCCGGTGGTAAATGCCTTGATTGCCTCACGGCTAATACGTCCCTGGTGAGACTGCAGGGGCATGATCTATACACTAAAGGTGTTTGTTTAAACTAGAGTCGTATCCCTTTAAGTGACTTACTAATAACAATCTATACAACTAAAATATAATTAAGAACACAAATTATGTCTCTTATTTGCACAGACTGATTTCTAAACATATTTGTTATTTAAAGGCACATTACTGTGAGTATTATTCAGGTGGAGCTCTGTTATACACTCTGAGACACCAACAATATTGAGCTCCTAATTTCTGATTAGACTCAGCATTCAGGTGCTGAAAATTATGCAACTACATTTTTGAGGGGAAAAATCTAAAGACAAAACAAACGACACATCAAATAACTCTAGAACTCAAACTCATACTGAAACATTGGATAGTGTAAGAGCTGCCCTATTTCTCCAGTTCATAGTTTGTGATGTCAATGATGCTTATTACAGACTATCGCTAAAATTTACTTCATAAACCATTTAAATGGAACGTGCAGACATTACTGATAAAGCTGAGGAAAAAATAGAAATGCAGTCATTAAATACTTGGTTCCTGGTACTGGGGCTGGTCTGGTGCACCCGCATACATTTCATATGGGTTTAAGTGCAGTTCCACATTCCTGCTATATTACTAATATAGCTGTCAGTTCTAAAATCCTGTTTGTAATTATGCAAAAAAGAAAAGAGAAAAAAACACCCCAAAACACAGTGTTGTACTGGAGTTAGTCAGCAGGGCTAGGGTGTATACTCTTGTAGTGAGAATTCTAGGTAATTCAAAGTGAATTTTAAATAGAAGGTCAAAGTAGGATAACTAAAAACATAGCTGACTGGGAGACTGTTTCCTGTACAGCTAATTTCAATTTGAAACTCACTGGGAATCCCCAGCAATTTTCACTTTAGTGAAAAGCCCTGATAGGCTTACCTGCTGTTTGCGGAAAGGTAGATTTAAAAAACAAACAAAAAAAACAAAACAATTTGCTGCTGCCAGCACTAGCAACCAGTGGACAAACCGATAAAAACCATTGTGAAGGATAATTAAAATTCTGTGGGGATCAATACAACTCCCATAGAACTGTAAGGAAGGTTTTAAAACTCCCCAAGCCCCTACCTGCCATGTGACAAGTGGGGTCATATCCACTAAATATTTAAAACTAGCAACTGGGCAGCAACTGGAAAGGCCCCAAGGGGCTTGTAAATTAACTGAGGGGAGACATAGTCCCCTGCTGTGTCCCCACATGTGGGCATAAAAAGGGGGCTATAGCAAAAAGAAAGAGTAATGGTAGCACTTATTCATCACTGTAAGGAGCAAGAGATCGGAAATAGAACAAGCAATGAAATGTAGTTAGGGATCAATTGTTTTTTTTTGTCCGGTGTATGTGTGAGTGAGTGATAATGTTTTGTTTGAGGTAGAAACAGAACACTGAAATAATGAAGTGAAGTAAAGGTAGAATAGATTAAAAGATTGCAATTAACAAATGATGAACATGGTATGGAAGTAAAATCTAATATTGAAAGATGGTGATATTCATACCTAACTCTGTTTTTAAAAAAGGGGGTCCTATAGACTAAAAGGGAGGACAGGTCTTTGTGCTATTCTGCAGTATGCAGCAATTAACTGCTGAATGCAGGAAATCAAAGTCAAAGGAAGCACCATCCAACTTTTCCCCCCCTAACTGTTTAAAACCTTACAGACAAAAACCAGGGATGAACCAAGAACCCACAGAGCTATTCACTGATCAAAATGGCTGCTCTGGAAAAATTTTAGTCGTAACTCTGCTATTTCATTTGCTAACAGTCACAGGGTTATTCAATAAAGTGAAAATTCGAAGTGAATTTCAGGCCAGAGTAGCCTGACTGAAAGCACACTTGACTTTGAGAATGTTCCCAGTTCAGATACTTTGACCTTATAGAGTTACTCTAACTACCAAGACTACGTCAGTGATTCAAAGTGGTCATGGTGGTAGGAGTATGTATGTGCACTGTTTCAGCTTGAAACATTGCACATAATGAGACATTTGTTTGTGTGCTGGAGGCTAGTTGTACCCCCAGCACACATGACATTTTCAACCCAGAACTCTGTTTCGGGTTGCCAGTGTAAATTCTGTGCATAAAATACATCTGTCATCAACGCATACTGCTGACAGTCATGATAACCTTCATCTTGCAGCCAAAGCGCCTTCAAGGGGCAAATGGGCACCGTAGGCTTAGGCATGGTAAATAATAATTGTGACCCACAAAATTACCAATACTGCACTATAGGGTAATAGGGATGCTGTAAAGAATCAATAAACTAATCAGTGAGTGTTAATCGCCCAAACTAGTATTCCAGTAGGGACAGAAGGGAGCTCACCAGGGCCCAGACCAGCAGCTAAAGACATGAGGCAGGAAGAGGCAGGCACAAGCAAAAACCGGAAGGAAAACGCTGTTAAAATCGCGAGATCATAGTGAAAAACCTGTGAATTTGTGAGAAAAAACTCACGAACGGGTAAATTCGTTTTGCGACCAAGGTGTGTTCGTGTGCCGAAAGAGTCTAGTAAGACAAAACACGAAAATGGCAGCGAAAACCACCGAAAGACCGGGTACGAAAAAACGCGAATGACTGACCTGAAATACAATAGGAGATATACGAACAGGCGTCCGCATGCAAACTCCCATCCCCAAAACGACACCAAAAGTTCCGAACGGGAGCGCCAAAACGGGCACAGGACCCTGGAGAGAGGGCAGAGAGAAGTAGAAAACGGGGGGAATACAAGTACCACTAAAGGGAAAAAACAGATTAAGCCACAGAATAAGGAGAAAAAAGGAGACAAAGGGGGATACACCGCCCCAAGTGCAGGTAGGGAAGCGAAACCCCCAGCTAGTCTGGGACCCCAAGCACAGAAGCAACAAACACACAAGAAACATGTAAAATAAACAGTGCTTTGAGGAAAACCCCAAAGTCCAATTTAAACTAAAATCCCCAAACATGCAATTAAAAATCCACCAAAATTAGTACAACTAAATCTCAAGAGACAAATAGATGGTACTTGGCTGACTGTGGAGCAACAAAGAAAGAGGAAGATCTAGGGGAGGTACTGACTATTATACTGGGACTTGGTATGGGAGCGGCTTATATCACTATGTATACCATATTTTTCCAACTGTTTTTGTATTCATTGCTGCTATTGGTGGATAGTAAAGAAAGGGATATGCAATATGAGCCTCCGTGTCTTGTTATAAAAACTCATAAGAGCAGGCATTAGGTTGCTAGAATAGAACCTGCCAAAAAAAACGTATCCAAGATCCAAAATGGGGAATAAGTGGCAGAATGACGGAATATTTTCTGGCATTTCAGAGAATGCGGAATAAAAAGTCATGTGTCAATTTATAAATAGCGTAGTAACAGTTTTATACATAAAAAAAAATTGCGCCCGTGCATAATATTGCTTTTAAAGAAAAAATAAAAAAAAATCACTCCTATTGTCTCACTTTACCAAGTAACATCTCTGCGAAGCAAGCGAAGAGGCATGACAAAATTAGAGTATGTCTCATAAAAATATATGTCATAAAATCTTCAAAAACTTGTCAAAGTTCTATATTTGTATTTGCAGTAATCCAGAGCTGCAGATCCCTAATAATACAGGACCTTAGTATAAAAGAACACTCCAGTGGGAAAAATAAATTAAAACAAATTAAATAATAATAATAAAAAAAAAATATATATATATCTACTAAACAGTGAAATAAAAATAATATATATATATAATTTTTGTATTATTATAATTTTGTTTATGGGCAGTGAAGTTAAAAAGTTGCATTGCCAGTGTGCTACACTAATAAATCTTAGTTGTACAGAACTCTAATAAGAGAAGGGCACAGGGGACCTGGGAGTGATGGGAGTTAACTTGAACACTGTCCAGCCATTCCACCCACCAACCCAGACCCAGCATTATGTTACCAAGGCTATGGGAGCCGCTTCCCTATACCCATTCCATGATTGGCTAACAGTATCCTCAAGTCCCCGCCCATTTACCCTTCGCTCGCCTCTCATTGGCCCGTTACATTCTGGGCGCTCGGACGCTTCCTGGTATCGCCGGAAGTGACGCGGGGTGAGTGGGTGATTGGTCGCTGTGGGTTGTTGTTTTTGTTGTTGTTGTTTCGCTTCCTGCCCGGATCCTCCCTCTCCCTCTCTCTGTCTCTCTCCCTGGCTGCCTCGCTGCTCCCGGGATGTGCCGCTCTCCGACATGGAGACTAAACGCGTGGAGGTTCCTGACGGAGTGCTGGATGACCTGTGCAGGTAACAATGGCAGGGCTGCTCTCTGGCTGCTGAATGCTGGGGGTGCTGGGAGTTGCATTCCTCTCCAAACTCTGTCCCAGCTCTGTGCTGATGTATATGTCAAGGTATTTGATTTCTAGATTGCAGATAGTGTGCCATACCATGTCAGGGGACTGGGGTGTACCTGGCATGGCACAACTGGGTCATAAAATGAGAAGTATTGAATTCCATCTATTCACTGTGCTAGAATTGTTTGCAAAATAATAAATATTAAGAGTGTCTCGTGTTAATTAATCTGTAGCTGTCATGGTACACACAAACCATCATATAAGAACACTCCAGAGTTATAAATACAGTTTATTATTGTAAAGTACATTTAGCTTACTGTCTGCAATACCCCTTTGGTGTAAAATAACAATAATACTTAGCTGTAAACCAGTCGTGTGAAGGTCACTGCTCAGAAGTACTAATAATAAATAATTGTGTAAAGTGCTAAGGGCGCAATGGGTACTTTGTGGAAAAAAACCAAAAACTTTTAACAGAGTGCAGTAACCCAATAGAACTTGGTAACTACAAAAGTATAATGGAAAATACATAAAAAGGGTGCGCAGTAAACTTTCCAACAGTGTAAAAAATACAATAAAAGAAGAGCAATGCAATAAACTTAAGTGTAAATAAAGAAAAAAGTGTTATTCAATAAATAGTACTAAACATGCTTGGTAATACTTATGCAGAATTGGTTCTTTCAACCTAAAACAAAAGATATAAAGAAGACTAATAGTGCAGATAAGTAAAATAAACAAATTGAAGTGTGTGTATATATTACACAATAAAAGAGGTTAGAAAACAAATACTTATTCACTGTTGTACAGTGAATCTGACATGACAGAGTCACAAGAATTTGAGTAAACCAAGAAAGAACATTCAGTAGTCTAGAGTTATAGCTCAGTGATGTAACCATATGGTAACCCCATACCATTTGGATATAGCAATATTTTAATCATGGATATGTAAGAATGCATGTGTGCTCCTTTACCAGCAAATTCTGCTGGTAATCTGTAGTTTTTTAACAATATCTTTCCTTCTGGGTACTTTTTTCTTCTTCAATGTAACAAAATGAAAGATTTATAGTGCAAGATGTTTTAATTTATGCAAAAAACTTTGCATTTTACAGACAAAAAAATGATAACTTTGTTGCCATTTGCTTCAAGTCAGTTTATTGTTCTTTTGGAGAAAACTTTAGTTTTTATATGAATTCCCTGCTGAATGGACATTATTGCTGTTACTAATATTTCCATTTTCTCTTGCCAGCCGATTTATTTTACACATTCCCAGTGAGGAGCGAGACAATGCTATAAGAGTGTGCTTTCAGATTGAACTTGCTCATTGGTTTTACTTGGACTTCTGGATGCAGAACTTTCCAGGCCTGCCTCAGTGTGGGATAAGAGACTTTGCTAAAGCAGATATCCTTTTATTTACACATTCGAATTGCTGAAATATTTTTCAGTGAATAGTTAGGAACTTGGCTTATCTTGCTCTTTAGTGCCAGTTTAGAAACCGCTATTTCCTTTACAGAAACCGTATGTAACCTTATAACTATAAAGATTCTAATCCAGTATAGTTAAAAATACAATACTCACGACGCCGAGAACGAGTATCAGGACTGAGTCTCAGAAATTTTCTGTATCTATTCTAACGTGCAACAGAACAACTTCATACTCGATACAATTTGTAACTAAGTACCCTTTCTGTGTATCATAACTTGAAAGACTGAATGCACTACCTGATCCATGTTATGTATTTTTTCTTTTTTACTCAAAAAAGTATTGTATTTTTAACTATACTGGATTAGAATCTTTATAGTTATAAGGTTACATACTTTTAAAACCCTTTTAAGTGTTCTTCTAAAATTCTGCATATCGGTGAAGTAGTGTGCTTAATAGCTGTGACCAAATAAGGCTGGATTTAAGATGGACATTTAAGGATCATTTTACCTTTTGAGTATATTATCAAAGAGAGACTTTACCCTATATTGTATAGCTTGGAGGAAAGACGAGACAGTGGGGATATGATAGAAACATTTAAATACATAAAGGGAATCAACACAGTAAAGGAGGAGACCATATTTAAAATAAGAAAAACTACCACAACAAGAGGACTTAGTCTTGTATTAGAGGGGCAAAGGTTTAAAAATATCAGGAAGTATTACTTTACTGAGAAGGTAGTGGATGCATGGAATAGCCTTCCAGCTGAAGATACGTGGATGGCTTCAATAGATCAATAAACACCAACTTTTGAGAACTAGCTATATGCTTATTATTTTGTTTGTGAAAGTTGAAGCTCAAGTGAATTAGTGCAGTCAGATTGTGAAATGTTTGACATAAACATGCATAATATTGAAAAAGATGTTATTGTTTTATATTGTATGACCGACCGTGGAACTTTGTAAAATAAGGTCACATTAAAATCCCTTCTTATACATGGAACCAATGCCGTGTATTCAAGAGGACATTTTTTCAAAAAAAGTAATTGTATATATGTCAGATGCACTTAACATTACTGAAATATACTCACCATAGTATTTTTTTATTGGAGATACTTGAGCAAAAGTTGTCAGCTCATTAATTTATGTATTTATTTGTCTGTATGGCCATCAGCTAGATTTCTGTTTATTTCCTTTACGTCATATGTACTATTCCAGCATTGTCCTTTTTTACTTCCCAATGGTGAAGATGTACAAAGGGTTTTGGATGAGTGGAAGGAATACAAAATGGGAGTTCCAACCTATGGTGCCATTATTCTAGATGAGAGCCATGAAAATGTAAGTGATCTCAATCGGTAAGTTTTATTGTTTATTAATAATAATAGTAGTGATAGTAGTCACATTAAAAGATAAGATCATCTCTTCCACAGCCCATGTACCCAAGAGATAGCCTGCAGGTTTTCTTTGACAGCTAGATAAAGAGGCTTGCTATAGTTAGTTACTCTCATATGACTAAGCCATACCTCATCATAAACCCATAAATCAGCCATAACCAAGTATATCTGTTATATCCAGTTGCTACATTTAATTGACGTGTGTTTCTACAGCATATGTTGTTGGCATGAGACCACTTGTCAACTATGTGTTCTCTATGTGATGTTTATATCTGGTATGCCTGAGTCCAATATACAGTTTCTCCTTTCCTCATGGGGGGTGCAGTGTTTTGGAAATCATCAAGCATGCTTGGTAGGATTAAGACATCATTGAAGTCTGCTAAATGTATGTCTGCTATGTTCTGCAACCTGAGCTTGTGCATTCAGGCTTAAATCCCTGGATGGTGTAGTCCATCTGTAAGTATTAGGCTATCCGCCTTTCTTTCCTAACTGATAACTGATCCAAGTTTGCACAGGAGATCCACAAATCGATTAAACAAATATCACTTAAATTTAAAAACTTATGACACCAATACAAAATAAAACCACACTATATATTATGATATGTATGCCCTGGGTATATACTTTTCTATATCCTACACATGTCAACTGATTTACTCAATAACCAGCGACCCTAATGACTGAAGAGCTGAGTGATCCTGACTGAATTTAAGGGAACCTGTTTACTGCTATTTACTTCTCCCTTGACCCCACCCTTCTTGTTTTTTTGTTTTTTTTCCTCTTCCTCTGTTTTTCGTGCTTTTTGATCTTGAAATACCAGTTTTCTCATACTTATGTATGATATACCTCTCTGGTTTCCTTAATTATATTACTAAGTTTAGCACTGTCTGTGTACCATGTGAATAATTTCAAATAAACTCTAATTGCACCCACATCAACATGATCCAGAAATAAATGACACATGTGGCCACTCTTGAGACCTATTAAACTATTGCCTATCCCGGTTGACATGTTGCATTTTTTTTTTATATATAATCTACAGTTGTGCTCAAAAGTTTGTATACCCTGGCAGAAATTGTGAATTTTTGGCATTGGTTTTGAAAATGACTGATCATGCAAAAATATGTTTGTTTGTTTTTTTGTTTTTTTTTGTTTTTTTTTTATTGAAGGGTAGTGATCATATGGAGCCATTTATTACCACATAGTTGTTTGGTTCCTTTTAAATCATAATGATAACAGAAATCACCCAAATGGCCCTGATCAAAAGTTTACATACCCTTGAATGTTTTGCCTTGTTACAGACACATGAGGTGACACACACAGGTTAAAATGGCACTTAAAGTGACACTATAGTAAGCAAAACAAATACAGCTTATTGTATTTGTTCTGGTGAGTAGAATCATTCCCTTCAGGCTTTTTGCAGTAAACACTGTCTTTTCAGAGAAAAAGCAGTGTTTACCTTACAGCCTAGGGATAACTCCACTGGCCACTCCTCATATGGCTAGAGGTGCTTCCTGTAGCAGTGCTGCACACTGTGAAGCATTGACATACAGTGTCTCCATCCTCTGCATGCAGACACTGAACTTTTCTCATAGAGATGTATTGATTTAATTAATCTCTCTGAGGAGATGCTGATTGGCCAGGGCTGTGTTTGACTTTAGCTGGCTCTGCCCCTGATCTTCCTCATTGACCGTCTCAACCAATCCTTTGGGGAAGCATTGTGATTGGCTCAAACCACCATTTCTGATGATGTCAGAGGCTGCAGGTCTAGATGGTAGTTTTAACACTATAGTGTCACAAATACATGTTTGTGTTCCTCACCCTATAGTGTTCCTTTAACCCCTGAGTGACCAGACCATTTTTCAGTTTTCTTACCATTAAGGACCAGGGCTGTTTTTACATTTCTGCTGCTTGTGTTTAGCTGTAATTTTTCTTCTTACTCATTTACTGTACCCACACATATTATATAAAGTTTTTCTTGCCATTAAATGGTCTTTCTAAAGATACCATAATTTTCATCATATCATATAATTTACTATAAACAATAATAAAATATGATGAAAAAATTTCAAAAAACACTTTTTCTAACTTTGACCCCCAAAATCTGTAACGCATCCACAACCTCCAAAAAACACCCGTGCTAAGTAGTTTAAAATTTTTATCCTGAGTTTAGAAATACCCAATGTTAACATGTTCTCAGCTTTTTTTGCAAGTTCTAGGGCTCTAAGTACAAGTAAGACATTGCTGTTTCAAAATATATTTTAAATTTTTTTATCAATAGTGACATTGTAACCCTGTTATCTGGCATAAATCTCTGAATCACACCACACATGTACATATTTTATTTTATTTTTTTAAACATTCTTTATTTAGTTTCACTTTTTCAGAAGCATATTGCAACCGTGGTGTATACATTTGTCTTATGATATAACATGTTTGACATTGTTATGTGACTGGACCTTTTGTCTAGCTGGCTTCCAGCTTTGCTGTTGCATTAGTTGGATGTTGATAGGTCGCAAAGTGGTAAATCCATAAGATACCACGTCCCAGCCACGACAAAGACAAGTCCCTCCATCTCTGCAGGTCTTCCGTGATTTTCTGGATCAGCGGTGAGTAGTTTAGTGCGTATGTGCGCTGTAGTTCCGCTGGTAGTGTGATCCCTAGGTACGAGATGTGTGAGGTCTTATAATTGAAAGCATATGTGTTCCGTAGTGTCTGTCTTTGATTGTCTGGTATTGTCAGCATGAGTGCTTCAGTTTTATCGAAATTTAATTTGTATCCCGATACCTCTGAGTAGTCGTCTATGAGTTTGAGGAGAGGTGGGAGTGCGTTCTGCGGGTCTGTGAGTGACAGCATCAGGTCATCGGCGTATGCCGCCGCCTTATATGTTTGTGTGCGGATTTTGATGCCTGTGATCTGGGGAGTGGTGCGGATAAGATGCAGTAGCGGTTCAAGTGAGAGGGCAAACAGGATGGGGGATAGGGGACAGCCCTGCCTCGTGCCATTATAGATGGAGAACGAGGGGGGGTTCGTGTTTGGTATGAGTAGGTTGGCAGTAGGATTAGAATAGATCATTCGCAGGGCGTCTTGGAATGGTTTGGGGAATCTGAGTTTCTCCAGAGTGGCGAAGAGAAATGGCCATAGTAACCTATCAAATGCCTTTTCGGCGTCCAGGGATAGGAGTAGCGTTGGAATGGAGCGCTGGGTGGCCACCCAGATCAGGTCTAGCATCCTCCTGGTATTGTCACTAGCTTGGCGAGTGGGGATGAAGCCCACCTGGTCCGGATGAATTAATGATGTGATATGTGGTAGCAGCCTATTGGAGAGTATTTTCGTGAACAGTTTGATATCTACATTCAATAGGGATATTGGCCGATAGTGGCCTGGGTCTGAGAGGGGTTTGTTGGGTTTGGGTAGAAGGCAAATGTTGGCTTGCAGCATGTCTTTGGGGAGCGGGTTTCCCTGCAGCAGGGTGTTGTATAGTTGTACTAGGTGGGGCAGGAGAGTGTCCCGGAATGTTTTGTAATAGATGCCCGGATATCCGTCCGGTCCTGGGCTTTTGTTGGGTTTGGTGGCCCCTATCGCCGTCGCTACTTCCTGCTCAGTGATCTCCATGGAGAGTTGAGTGACCGCGCTATCTGATAGTGTGGGCAGGTGGGTTCGGTCCAAAAAGGTTTGGATACGGTCCTGTAGGGTGGCGGTCCGTTGCCTATGGTTGGGGGAGTGGTCATATAGGTCTGCAAAGTAGTGTTGGAATACCTCCGCGATTTTGGTAGGTGCCTCTGTGTCATGGCCCGATGGTGTGCGTATGCGTGTTATCTGCTTGGCCTGGATGCGCTTGCGCAGCCTGCAGGCCAGGAGTGTATCGGCTTTATTGGACTTTTCGTAGAACTTTTGTTTTGTCCATTGTAGAGCCTTGGTGGCGTCCACCGCCATTGCATTGTGGAGGGCCTGTCGTTGGTGTTGGAGTTGTGTAGTGAGGTCCGGGGTGGGGGTGGCTTTATGTAGGGATTCAAGGTCCCTGATGGTCGCTAGTATTTTCTCTATGTGGGCGAGGCGTCTTTTTTTGTGTGCTGTGGCTAAGCTAATAAGGGTACCCCTGATCCCCGTTTTGTGAGCAGCCCATATGATTGCGTTGGATTGTACTGTATCCTTATTTGTGTTGAAGTAATGTTTGAGTTCTGTTGTGATTTGTTGTACCGTTTGTGGGTCGTTGAGTAGTATCGGGTTAAGTCTCCAGGACCAGGGTCTGGAGATTCGTGGGGGCTGGAACGATATCGCTACCTCAGCGTGGTCGGACCACGTTATATTGCCTATGGAGGTCGTTGTTATGAGCGGAAGCAGCGACGGGGAAACCAAGAAGTAGTCTATACGTGAGTAGGTTTGATGTGGGTGGGAATAAAAGGTGTAGTCTAGTGTGGAGGGATGTTGCAGTCTCCATACATCTATCAGTTTGGTAGTGGAAATGAAGTCTGCCATGAATTTGTCATTTCTGGTCGGTGCTGGGGTCTGTGGTGGTCGTTTGAGTCTATCTACCTGTGGCTCGATCGCGGCGTTGAAATCCCCGCCTATAATCTGGTGGTAGTTGGGGTGTAAGCTGAGATGTGCTTGTAGAGTAGGCCAGAATCCCGGGTCTGGGGTTGTGGGGCCATAGACAGAGGTGATCGCATATTTGGTCGGGCCTATTGTGCCCGCCACCGTAAGGAAGCGGCCGTTGGGGTCCCTGTGTGTGGTGGCAATCTGGAGGGGGCAGGTTTTCCTTAGGAGAATCGCCACTCCATTGTGTTTGCCTGAGTTGGAGTTGGCGAAGTAGCAAGCCCGGAAGTGGCGGCTCAGGAGAGGGAAAGGGCGTGTGTCTGCATAGTGTGTCTCCTGTAGTAGGAGTATATCCGCTTTGCTGCGATTTGCCCATCTCATGAGTCGGTGTCGTTTGGCGGGGTTATTCAGCCCTTTGCAGTTGATTGAGATGCACGTCAGGCTAGCTGTCATGGTTGTGTGGTGGAGCGTGTTTCGCTATTATCTCCCCCCAGTGGTAGACGGTGTCCCGTGTGTCTAAATGTTGAGTCCGTCATGTTTCTTCCTGCTGAGACCAATTTAAACCATTGAACTAAGATTAACATATAAAACCATATAATACAGAAAAAACAGAAAAAATAAATGCCTGGTCTTATGGTTTGCGCCAGGCCAAATGGAGTGGGGTGTGTGGAGTCTTCCCCACCTGGGTGGGTCTCGTGACCCCCGTACTGTGCTGAGTGGTGCATTGCACAGTGCGGTCTCCGTGTGCTTCCCGCTCTGGGCATAGACGGGCTGTGCTCAGTGCCCCAGGGTGGGTTCACTCTGGGCCTTCTCTATCGGGTCTAGTGGGTATGTGCTGATGGCCCAACACGGCTGTGTTGGGTTTGGCGATTCCTGGGGGAACCACTAGGGCTTCCTGTCTCATGTAGTAAGAATCGCCAGTGGTACGTACCTCCCCCTTGCCTCCCCCCCGTCTTTCCCATCCCTTGTAGTCCTCCTCTCCTTTCCCCCTTTTTGTCTGCAGATGCTCTAGTCCCTTGCCCCCCCCTTTTTCCCCCGCTTTAGGCCCTTTTCAGCGCCCTGTAGTGGTGTCCCCGTATCTGTTTTGTGTCCCCTTAGACCTTAGTACCCCCTGGCTAAAGTAGCACCATAAAACTCAGTGTAAAAGGATATGGTGGTGTGCGTTCCCGCACTCAGAAGTAGATCAAAAAGTCTGGAAGTCCCTTCAAGTCTCTTGGGATAGTCTCTGCATGTGAGTGGTTGAGTCCATGGTGGACTGGTTCCATGCAATTCAGGTGTCCCGGTCGCGAGTCTGCAACGATGTCTGCTGCTGGCGCTTGGGTGGTCGGTTCCGGGGTGTCCGAAGTTTTTCCCAGAGTGGCGTCCTTTGTGGTCTGGCGTTGTCCCCTGGCTTTCTGGATTGCGCTCGTGCTTCGGGTAGGCTGATGCCCAGTGCGGCAGCGAAGGGCGCCATTTTTGAGGTGTCTTGCAGGACATGGGTGCTATCATGTTGGCGGACTAGTAGCTTGAAGGGGTGTCCCCATCGGTACGGTATGTTGGCTTGTGCCAGTGCGCTGGTTAGGGGTTTGAGCTCTCTGCGTTTCATTAATGTGGTAGGTGAGACATCTTGGTAAAACTGGAGAGTGATGGCGTCAAATTTTGGCGGAGTTTTTCGTGTGGCCGCCATGATGGCTTCTTTAAAAGTAAAGTAGTGAAGGCGTACTATTACGTCTCGGCGCGCCATTTGGTTTTGGCTAGGGGGTTTGAGGGCTCTGTGCGCCCGGTCTATGGCGAGGTCTTGTGGCGTTGCCTCAGGAAGGATTGTAAGAAACAATTCACGCAGCGTGGAGAGCAGCATATCAGGCGTGACTGTTTCGGGGAGGCCCCTAATCCTTATGTTGTTACGCCTAGAGCGATTATTTAGGTCTTCCATACCTGTCTCTAATTCTTCCACTTTGTTCCTCAGTGTAGTGAGCTCAGCTTGGTGCATATTGAGGTTTTCAAGGAGTTCATCTGCCCTCTGCTCCACCTGTCCTGTCCTCTCCGCCAGGTCAGCCTTCAGGAGTTGTAGCTGTTTTCCAAGTTCAGCTGCCATATGTGTCTTTATTTCTGCTGCAGCTTCTTGCAGCAGTAGTTGCAGGTCCCTCTTGGTGATCGGTGTGGAGGCTGAGCCTGCTGCCTCACTGCGGTCTGAGTCGGATGCAGAGTCTTTCCGCCGTTGTGGGGAAGATGGCGTCTGGCCTCGTGGTTGCCGGAACAGAGGGGCCACGGATGACGGCTGCTCGTTCTTTTTCCGCTCCCCCCCCCCCCATGTCCGCTGGTGGCTGTGGGTATTCCGGGATGTGGACTGCGTCTCTGGGGGTCCGTGCACCGAGTGCGGCTGGATTTGTGGCTGTTTGAATATGCCCGTCGGCGGGAGCGTTCGCGCTATGCGGCCATCACAGCTCGCGGTCAGGCTCCACCCCCCACATATTTTTTTTTAAAGTGGACAACCCAGGGTATTCAATATGGGGTATGTCCAGTCAAAGTTAGCATTTATGTTTGTTTGTGTGTTAAAAATGCAAAAGAAACCAAAACGCTAAGTTTGGCAAGTGTTTGTTACTAAGTGGCTACTAAAAAAGACTGAACATACCCCATTTTCAATACCTTGGGTTGTATTCTTTTGCAAATGGTATGCTATCATGGGGGTAATTCTCATTCGTGGGCAACCATACATTACTTTAAAGGCAACATAACCATTTTATTTTATTTTATTTATTTTTTTATTTTTATTTATATATAGATACATATATGTATTTATAACGTCAAGTCTTGCCATATGAACACATATTCACAGGGTATTTACCACTGGATTATATTTATTTGCACACATATTCACAGGGTATTTACCACTGGATTATATTTATTTGCACACATATTCACAGGGTATTTACCACTGGATTATATTTATTTGCACACATATTCACAGGGTATTTACCACTGGATTATATTTATTTGCACACATATTCACAGGGTATTTACCACTGGATTATATTTATTTGCACTTTAATAATATACATATACTGTATTTGCACTTTATTCACTACAGTTGGACCATTATTGATTTACATATTGTTCATATTGTTATATTAGCACTTAAAGGCACAGCGCACTTTTGTTCTTTTTTTGTATTCTATTTGAGTGGTTTTAGAGCTATTTCACTTTTATTAGTGCTTGCTAGCCTTTGTGAGTGTTATTATTTTTTTTTTTTATTGATTTTATAGCGCCATTTTTACTTGATAGTTTTATATTTTCTGTCATTATAAATGTATTTTTATTTAAATATATAAGTATATTAATATCAAAACACAGTTCGAACAAATTTTAAACTGGCTTAATTATTAATTTTTTTTTCCTTTTTTTTAAAAAAAAAACGTATTTTTATTACACTTAAAATAACGTATTAAATACACTTAAAATAATGGAATGTGTATGTGCATATAAAAATACATATATGATCTAAGTACTTTTATTTATTTTATTACACTTTTTAACAACTTTTATTAAGTTTTCAAACTTTTGCAGGCATGAGGGGGACAGCCTGAGTGCTCAGGTATTCCCCCTGCAAGCACTGCACAAGCCGACATATTGCACGTTTACCTGGTGTTTGTGCTTCATGTTTTGCGTGAGAATACTGGATTGCATAAAGGTCACCTAAGTATATCTTTCAATTGTGGTATTTGCACTTATTGGTGTGTATAGGGGCTTATTGTTATCTTCTATTTTGCACTCCACTTGTATATCTATTATCTATTCTTATTTAGTGGATAACCATGATTGTGTGTGTTTTCTGTAGCAGTGCAGACTGCTTCTTCCAGCCAGTGCTGGGAAATGTATCAAATTGTTGCAGTTGTAACGATTGGAAACGCTCCGCTATAGTACAGGCAAAAGAGAGAGCCTCCCTCTATTCAGTGCCAGTCCTGCAAGTGTCTGATGGGGAGATCTTTCCTGTCATTTTCAGCCACACAACAGGAGAATGGGCTGGCCATGCCACCCTACTTCTGCCTGCCGGTGGCCTTGTGGCGAATCCGGCCCTGGTAGCCGTTTTATAAAGGCATCAAAGAAGCCCGGGGGACTTTTGCCCGCTTGGCTCAGTCCTCCCCTGTTGTGTAGTTAATATACGTCTAACCTCTGTTCGTACTCCTACCTCTGATGCTCACATTAAAGACTTCTCTAGGGCTGCACCATTCCTATGGAATGCCCTTCCCCTCTCTTAGACTTTCACCCAATCTCCACTCCTTCAAAAAAATCTTTGAAAACTTACTCCTTTAGGAAAGCATATCAACTAAACTGAACAGCTTTCCCTCCCCGCAACCTGATTACTCTCCTGAAACTGTCATCAAAACAAAACGCTAAACCCTTAATGAACACTATCCTAGCAACCTACTTTTCTTCCCTTACCTTTTGTGTCATATTACACCACTCCCTCTAGCATGTAAGCTCATTGAGCAATGCCCTCAATCCCTCTGTTTCTGTGTGCCCAACTTGTCTGGTTACAAATACGCGTCTGTTAGTCCACCCATTGTAAAGCGCTACAATATTGAGGTGTGTTTTTTTTTTTTGAATGTGTTTTTTCCTTTTTTGAATTTTTTTTTTTTTTTTTTAATTTCCACTCCTCCTTAGGATCTCTTGGATGATGGCAGCAACAGAAAAGAACAATTGAATCATAGCACATTATAGATAGATAATTGGCATTATTCACTAAATTGAGAATTGTGGAGAATAAATAAGGGAGTTGCAAATTGTAATTGGCTATTTTGTCTCCAAAGTTGTAATTCCTTTACCAACAGCCAATTTTGCATATAACCCTGTGTACAGCAGTACAGGGGAAGTTTAGAGCTGTTTCTGAAGTGAATGTGGTGACTTATCAATGTATTTTGCATTATTTAGCCAATTTAAGTTCCAATGTGGTGCTTTTAGTATATTTAGTACTGCTAAGTATAGTCATTGTCTTTTTTTTGTTGATAATTTTCTTTTCTCCCCAGGTGCTACTTGTTCAAGGCTATCTAGCCAAGTCAGGATGGGGGTTTCCCAAAGGAAAAGTTAATAAAGAAGAAGCACCTCATGACTGTGCTGCCAGAGAGGTACGCTCTGATTAATTACCATTTGTGATAACTAATGTGGTTACCTTGTCAGCAGTTGTTCTCCATGTTATGCAGTTCCGTGCTCAGGAACAACTTAATATTTTCGTTTTAATGTTTAGTAAGTGATAGCTGCATGTAGACAACACCCTGTTTGAGAGACTTTTACCAGTTACAGTTAACCTTTAGCTGCCCTACTGTCAGTGCTAGCACCTATGAAATGTACAAAAACTGTATAGGAATATAGCCTTAAAACTTTCAACTCATGGGCTCCTTTCCCCAAGTCTTGCCATATGAACACCCTTTTGATGAACCAACTCATAAAATACGAGTTTAGGTATATGTTTGATAATACTTCACGAACGTTGTCAGATGGCGTCCACTAGCTAGTTGTGATCCGCAGATTTTTTGCAGTCCACATCCAGCTTCAGCACCTTTTTGAGTTCTTTTGAGAACATCCTATCAGTGTCTTTAATATCTTTTTAATTGAACATGTTACTTGTCTTTTTGTCTTCTGGTTTTTCAGGTATTTGAAGAGACAGGTTTTGATATCAAGGATCGCATCTGTAATAATGACTACATTGAACTGAAGATCAATGATCAGTTAGCGCGCTTGTATATTATTCCAGGAGTCCCAAAAGATACAAAGTTTAACCCCAAAACAAGAAGAGAAATAAGAGTAAGTTTAGCTTTTTTATTATTTTTATTAAAGGTTTAATCAGTTTTTATTTTCCACTTCAAAAAAGAATAATGTATGAAAATAGAGTAGGAGAGAAGGAAAGAGAAAAGGAAAATATGAAGCAAATCTTTAAGAACAGTGTATAGATTGCTGTTTAGGAATAACTTTTTAAAAACAAAATGAAATTGCGTACATTTATGAAAGCTTTAGTTTTTCGTCTATCTGTATATCTGTTGCAGACCTTTTTGCATTTGTAAATCTTTAAACATTACACAGCTTGTCTTTTTTAGTCCTTCTGACAACAGTGTAGAACTAACACAATGAATACACGGGCGGGTTGGTAGGAGGCATTTGGGTTTTATGAAAATAAAGGAACAGAAGAGTGGGTGTTTCACATAGTATGACATCTACAGACCGCAGATCATGGCAGTGAGTATAAACATCTTAATGAGCAATGAAACCTTTAATTTATGTCCATGATAAATTCCATAATACCTGCAAAAGGAAAAATGGAAATTGTATGGCCTAAGGCAGGGGTCGGCATCCTTCTGCACTCCAGATGTTGTGGACTACATCTCCCATAATGCTCGTACAGCTATAATGCTGGCAAGGCATCAGGGCAGTTTTAGTCCATAGCATCTGGAGTGCAAAAGTTGCCTATACCTGGCCTAAGGTAAGCATGTCATGAAATGTTTACTTCAGTGAGCCTCTAGATGGCTAAGCCTTCCTTAAGGACCACTCAGTGAAGTAGTCTCAGTGCAGTGACCATGCATTGTAGAACATTGCAGTTTTGTTGAAACTGCAGTTTTAACATACCTCCAGTGGCTATCTTATAGAGCAATGCTGAGGAAGTCTTGGTGTGGGATAAAATGCAGGATTGTATTCCTAATGCGATAGTGTTCCTTTAACATACTAAATGGACAAAGTAAATGTTATACTTGCTGTGTCTTGCATTTATGTAAATAACATACTTACATTAAGGTGCAAAATATTTTAATTGTGATACAAAAAAGTAAGATGTTACATAAATATTCACTCCCATTGCTATGAAACTACTGGATGTAACGAATGTACAGAAATCCTTTCATTAGTGGCGTGGAGTTTACCTGTAAACAAAGTGTAACTTGATGTCAAAATAAATGTTCCCGTCTGTGGAAGGCACCTGGCTAGAGATTATATTCAACCAATTAATGACATAATCGCAGGTAAATCCAAAGGTCACTACTCCATATTAATTCTCCTTGACCTCTCTGCTGTCTTTGACACCGTTGATCATGCTCTCCTCCTTCAAACTCTTCAATCGCTCGGTCTCTGTGACTTTGTCCTCTCATGGTTTTGCTCTTATCTCTCCCAACGCTCATTCAGTGTCTCCCTTTCCAAGGATACCTCCTCCCCTCGTCCTGTGTCGGTTGGAGTTCCCCAAGGCTCTGTCCTTGGTCCCCTTCTATTTTCTCTTTATACTGCATCTCTTGGCAAACTTATTGCCTCTTTTGGATTCCACTACCACCTGTACGCTGATGACACTCAGATATACCTCTCCTCCCCGGACCTCTCCCCTGTCGTCCTGCAACGTGTCACTGCTTGCCTTTCCTCCATCTCTGACTGGATGTCCTCGCGATTTCTGAAACTCAATCTCTCTAAAACTGAACTCCTTGTCTTTCCTCCTCCTAATACTGATCCTCCTCTCTCGCTCTCCCTTCAAGTCAGTGATATCCACATAAGTCCATCCTTGCAAGCAAGCTGTCTTGGCGTCATACTTGACTCTGGCCTCACCTTTGAGCCTCACATCTAGTTTGGTGCCAAATCCCGTAGATTCCAACTTAAAAACATAGCCCGCATCCGCCCCTTTCTTACACAAGGTGCCATCAAGGAGCTTGTCCATGCTCTAGTAATTTCCCACATGGATTATTGTAACCCTCTCCTGATTGGTCTCCCCAAAAGCCGTATTGTCCTGCTACAGTCTGTAATGAATGCCGCCGCCAGACTGATTTTCCTTTCACACCCCACCCCTCTGCCAGTCCTTACATTGGCTCCCTGTATCCTATAGGAGTCAATTCAAAGTGCTAAAGCACTGAACAATTGTAGCCCCTCTTATATCTCTTCACAGATCCATAGGTATGCCCCTCCTCGTACCCCCTGCTCTGCCCGTGACCACCTCCTGACCGCTGCTTGCACCCGTACGGTCAACTCGCACTTGCATGACTTCTCGCGGGCGGCTCCTTTCCTACGGAATAGCCTACCTACCCCCATCAGCCTCTCCCCCTAGTCTTCAGTCCTTTAAGAAGTGCCTCAAAACTCTTTAGGAAAGCTTATGGCCTCCCAGAGTAAACTCTACCTTGCATACCTGTCTATTGCTCTCTCCTATAAGGCAGTGCTTTACTCTCTCCTTCAGCTCTGCTTCACTCCCACCCTATTTGATTATTTCCTGTTCTAACATGTCTTATACCCCACCTCCTATAGACTGTAAGCTCGTTTGAGCAGGGTCCTCATCAAACTATTGTTCCTGTAAGTTTTCTTGTAATTGTCCTATTTATAGTTACATCCCCCCTCTCAAAATATTGTAAAGAGCTACAGAATCTGTTGGCGCTATATAAATGGCGATGATGATAATAATAATAATAATAATAAAAACAAACCCCACAATTAGTCGAAGACCTAACAAATAAAGGCTGGGATAAAGAGAAACAGGAGAAACTCTTGTCAGTGTTGGTTAATAGAATAAACATTCCAAACATTGGATTTTCCCTGAAACACCAATAAATCCATTATTTTTATTTTTTAATTTTTTTAATTCTTTATTTTTGTTGTGGAAGATTTCCACGGGTTGTGGTGATAGTATACAATTTCCAGTTCAAAAAGATATAATGCAAACATATAAAGGTATAATACAAACATAAGAAGCAAGCATCATTATATTTTAGTGGCAATAAATCCATTATTAAGAAAAGGAAATAGTATGGAACAACTGTGATTCTGTCTGGGGAAGAATGTTCATCAAAACTCAGAGACCATTGAGGAAGACAGTCAAAGAAACAACCAAAAGGTTGTTGCAGCTGAGATGAGAAACCATCCATGAGAGAGCCATAACACAGTTTCTCCACAAAGCTAGGCTTCGTGAACATATGGCAAGAAGTAAGCCATCACTGAAAAAAGCATCATATCAAATTATTTTTCAACGGGGCGTGGCCGACCACGGAGGTGAACAGTCGCATGTCTGTGGAGCTCTGCATCGGCCCCACAGACTAAGAGCCTTACAGAGCAGAAATCAGCTCCAAAAACGCGCAGATTACCTGCCACCCGACAGCCGACAACATGGGGCGCAAACATAGAAAGCAAACTCACACGGAGCGTCCCGCGGCACCCGATATCAGGCTGGCATTTCAGAGGCCTACACAGGCGCGGCCCGCCAAGATGGCGCCGGAACCGCAGAGTGAGTTGGAGACCTCTGACGATTCCCAGGAAGAGAGGGACTCCCAAGCTTCCCTCCCAGGCCCCACTCCCAGGTCTGACTCGGAGGAAGATGACTCCCCATCAACAAAAGGGGACATCAGAAGGCTGCTGACTGACCTAAGGCAGGTCTGGAAGGCCGACTTAAAGGAGACACATGCAGAAATAGGGGTCTTGCAGCAGAGAGTCCAGGAGGTGGAAAACAGAGAAAGCTCAAGAGATCACCAACTCCAAGACACCAAACTGCAACTGGAGGGTCTTACTGAGCAGGTCCGACGCCTACAAGGAGCGGTGGTAACACTTGAAACCAGACACCGCCGACGCAACGTACGCCTCAGAGGTATTCCTGAAACGGTGAGCGGTGAAGAATTACTGCCCTTTGTCCGGAGACTCACCTCCTCCATGGGCCTTGGATGTAAATCAGACACCCCACTGATACTGTCCACCTTCAGGGTGCGCAAATCGCCAGCGGCACCCGCTGGTGCCCCCAGAGACACCATAGCCACCACCAGAGACATAGCGGCGAGAGCTGCAATCATGGCCGGATCCAGATCATTGGGCTCGGTAAAATTTGAGGGATGCGAGGTGGCCATATACAGTGACCTCCCTTTTGCAGTGCTTGCAGCAAGGAGACTACTAGCACCAGTCACTAAGAGACTGAGAGACCATTCGATCCGGTACCGAAGGGGCGCAGAGGGATCGCTAACGGTACAAAAGGGCGCCGATATACTCACCCTGACCTCGGGAGACGACCCAGAGACATTCCTCAAAAAATTAGGCATATCAGCCAATGGACACAGAAAGCAACCTGAGAAACGCAACACTTAACTATAATAATAATGATGCTTTATTTTTATTTTATTTTTATTGTATGCATATAAGCCAATGAGGAAAGCCTCTCACTATTCTTGCTTCCCCTAACCCAACACTCCATGCTATTAACCTATAGCCCTAGATACCTGACCCCACATATATATGGGATATACAGATTGAGCCGGAAGAGTGATGAAATCTAGCAACCTCGAATATTAAGCAACCTCTTTAAGTAGAGATCTCCGTAGAAGAGTAGAAATGTACAAACTGTTCCCCCACCATGCCGCAGCAAGGGTCTCTCTGAAACAAACCCCACAATTAGTGAATGTTACTCTGCTTGTAGCCCAACGAAAGGTTATTTGATCCCGTTCTACCCTATATAATAACACATATAATGGAAAATTGTATACTGTGTGTATAAAACCTAATAAAATACAAATTAAAAAAAAATAAAAAAATTATTTTTCAAGTTCTCTGGTCTGACAAAATGTCACTTTTTGGCCTCCATAGAAACACTGTGTGACACAAAGCCAAGTCTGCTTACTACCTTGAGTGGTGGTGGTAGTATCAGGATACTTTTTATTGTGGCATTGCTTGCAGGATGGAGCAGTATACAAGAATTCAAGGCTTTTTCAGTCTGCAAGAGTTGTGAAATTGGGGTGTAGTTTCACCTTCCAGCAGAATAGTGGCCCTAAGCACAAAGCCAAATTTACACTGGAGAGGTTTTAAACTCTGGACCTGAATTTCATAGAATTCACTTTAAATTTCCAACAATGCTCACTTTAGTGAATAGCCTAGAAAGTATTTACTGTGGGATGAATATTTCTCATATAAGTCAGTGTATTTTATTTTTCTTTATAAATATAATCCGCCCTCTCCTTTAAGGGTTACTCTAACCCAGGGCTGGACAAATCCCAGGCGCCAGGTCGCCATGGTGAATATAAATTTCGCCCTGGCGCTTGGGATGCGGCCGCCCTGAGGAGTTTGGAGGTGGGCGGGAGCATGGAGACGGCCGCCCTGAGAACCATGGAGGAGGCGGCTGCATTATGGCCGGCGTGCGAGGAAATGGTACTCTGCCTGTAGCTCCTCTCTGCTCCCTCGCGCTGTGTAATGATGCCGGGAGCCGGAATATGACGTCATTCCGGCCCCGGCATCATTACACAGCGCAAGGGAGCAGAGAGGAGCTACAGGCAGAGTACTGCTCCTCACACACAGGAAGAGTGCAGCCCCACTGGACTCCAGGAAAGACCCTCTCAGCTCTGCCCAAGGTAGGGAGGCTGAGTGGGTTTCAATTAAAACAAAAATGTGTGTGAGAGAGAGTGAGCCTGTCAGAGTGTGTGTGTGAGCCTGTCAATGTGTGTGTGTGAGAACCTGTGTGTGTGTGTGTGAGAACCTGTCAATGTGAATGTGTGTGTGTGTAAGCCTGTCAGTGTGTGTGTGTGAGAACCTGTCAATGTGTGTGAGAGAGAAACTGTCAGTGTGTGTGTGAGAGATCCTGTCAGTGTGAGAGTGTGTGTGTGTGTGTGTAAGCCTGTCAGTGTGTGTGTGTGTGTAAGCCTGTCAGTGTGTGTGTGTGTGAGAACCTGTCAATGTGTGTGTGAGAACCTGTCAGTATGTGTGTGTGTGTGAGAACCTGTCAATGTGAGTGTGTGTATGTGTGTGAGAACCTGTCAGTGTGTGTGTAAGCCTGTGTGTGTGTGAACCTGTCAGTGTCTGTATGTATGTGTGTGCGCGTGTGTGTGTGAACGCCTGTCAGAGTGTGTGCGTGCAAGCCTGTTGTCAGCGTAAGACTGTGTGTGTGCGAGTGAGTCTGTCAAGTGTGTGTGCGCGCGCGTCTGTCAAGAGTTTGTGCATGCAAGCCTGTTGTCAGCGTGAGTGTGTGTGCGTTTAGGTACCTGCCCCCTCCGATTGTTTTTACTCACCTTTTTTCTCTATTTTCTCACGCCGTGCCAGTTTCCCCATGGCTGAGATGATCAATCTTTATGATCTTGGCTAAGCCAATGCTTTCCCTTAGGAAAGCATTCGGAGGATTTTGTGCATGCGCAGCAAATGTACTAATCCACATCTCCTCATAGAGATGCATTAAATTAATGAATCTCTACGAGGAACATTCAGCACCTCCATGCAGAGCTTGGAGATACTGAACCTGGGTGCTGCACGTAGTGCAGCAGTGACCCAGGACTCTCTAGTGACAGTCTGAGTGACTGTTACTAGAGGTGTTACTAAGCAGAAATGTAAGTTCTGCCTTTTTACAGAAAATGCCTGCGAGGACAGGCTATAGACACCAGAACAGCTACATCAAGCTGTAGTGGTTCTGGTGACTATAGTGTCCCTTTAAGAATTGCATTTTCTCTTTGAAAATGACTGGCTCCTAGATTCCGGACTAATTTTTTAAGCCCTGCTCTAACCCTTTGCCTCTATTAGTCTGTTTAGGCTAACAATTCCCTATTGGGCATTGCTGTTAGGTCCCATTTCACTTTAAAACATTAGAAAAAAAAAGGTTTTAAACTTACCGGCAATCCAGCACCAGACAGAGTTTCTCCCTCCTCTGTCTGACATCAGCAAGAAGCCTTGCATGGTTCAACCACAGGATTCTCATAGAGAAGCCTGTGATTGGACACTTTCACCGGCTTACAGCGCATGCTTGCAGTCTGAGCTGGTGAGTGGAATGGGGAAGGAGGAATTTTTTTGAGGGGGGAGGGGGGATAATTCTGATTTAAAAAAGAAAAGAAAAAAAAGCCAAATAAAGCAAGGGAGAGAGCGCGTAGTGGAAGGAAAAGAAGGGAAAGCAATCTTCCCCTTGCAGGCGCTCTGCCTACTAGGAAGAAGGTTATTATGTCTGTCACCAGCGTGCAGTTCGTACTGATGACAGACCTAAAATATGCACAGAATTAACATTAGGCAATCCGGAACAGAGTTCTGGGCTGCCTAAGTCACGTGCTCCTGGTTTGTAACAATCCACCAGCACACAAGTACAAATAACTCTGAATGTGCATTGTTTCAAACTGAATCACATCCAGGCTCTTACCACCATGACTACTTCAAATCACTGATGTGGTGGTTGGAGTAACCCTTTAATGAAAGAACAACAAAAACAGCTGAAAGAACCGCTCCTTTTACACTTTCAAAAACTGTGTCACTGTTATATTTCTACAGGCAAATCATATGGGTTTTTGGGGACATGCAAATGCTCTTTAGAATTAGATTTTTTAGGTTATTGTAAATGACCAATAAAAGATTGTATAATAATTCATGTAAATAATGAAACTTAAAAGTTTGGCTAATATCTGAAATACTTTGTTTGACAAGGGTGTTTAGTTTGTATTACGGTGTGGTGTGTGGTTGTGTGTGTGTGTGTTGTTTTTTTTTTTTCATATATTTTTTATTTTTTTTTCTCTTTCAGAATATTGAATGGTTTCCAATTGAGAAGTTACCCTGCCATAAAAATGATATGACTCCCAAGTCAAAGCTTGGATTGGCTCCTAACAAATTTTTTATGGTGATCCCTTTCATTAGGTAGATATGCATTCATTTTATAGTATTCTGCTGTGCTATTGATGTTAGAAATTAAAATCTCTCGAAAAAATTGTTAAACCAGAAAATTATCCTGCAATTAACATATTAGGTCTGTCTGGAAAGTATCCAGCCTTGTAATATGAAAAATAGAGACCTTTATTGAAGAAAATACAAGAACCAAGACACATTGGGATCTTACACAGTTCTCCCAGCATCTCTTCCACTGTTCCAAACAAAATCTATGGAATTACCATCAGATAGTCCTTCCTATTTACCTGAATCCTCTCTTCATTTGCTTAAAGGACCACTATAGTGCCAGGAAAACATACTCGTTTTCCTGGCACTATAGTGCCCCGAGGGTGCCCCCACCCTCAGGGACCCCCTCCCACCCGGCTCTGGAAAGGGGAAAGGGGTTTAAACTTACCTTTTTCGAGCGCTGGGCGGAGAGCTCTCCTCCTTCTCTCCTCCTCCGTTCCGCCCCGTCGGCTGAATGCGCACGTGCGGCAAGAGCTGCGCGCGTATTCAGCCGGTCGCATAGGAAAGCATTTACAATGCTTTCCTATGGACGCTGGCGTGCTCTCACTGTGAAAATCACAGTGAGAAGCACGCAAGCGCCTCTAGTGGCTGTCAGTGAGACAGCCACTAAAGGCTTTGGGGGAAGGCTTAACCCATTAATTTCTCGGAAACTGCTATGTTTATTAAAAAATGGGTTAACCCTAGCTGGAGCTGGCACCCAGACCACTTCATTAAGCTGAAGTGGTCTTGGTGCCTAGAGTGGTCCTTTAAGTATGGAAATTTAAGAGGGATATATTGAAACAAAACATGTGTGGATTAGCTGAAATTAAATTAGATAAGGTAATGCTGACTTTAGTCTCTCTAACACTGTGGCATGTTCCCTTTTTTACATCCACCTTTTCTCTGACTCATATTATATACCAGGAGCTTCTGCCTGCTAGTAAGGAGACAAGTGGACATGTGAGTGCTAGGGGACAGTCCTTAGAAAGCATGGAGCGAGCGCATCATTAGACACATTTATGCCAAGTTCAGGATGCTGTTGGCCAGCATGCATGATTGGCAGGCAGCCTGACATGATATGAATGTTTTAGTGTTTTTGGTCGATAAGAGTCTGTACTTAGGCCTCTCATAATTGTCAGCGCGAGGCCCACTGGGAACTTAATCTGGCATTGATTGTTCAAGCTTAAGGCAAAATTTTATGCAGATTCGTTGATCTACTCACTCAGTCATTTTGAATGCAATGGCCACACATTACACATGCTCACTCAACAGCGTCTAGTGCTCCCACTGACTAGTACAGTGAAGTCTTCATTGCTTGTGCATTCCAGTCCACTCTAATTGGCTGCCAGGTTACATTGATGTCGCGCAAACCATCCTTGTTATATTAACAATGGCATGGCTTTTTCCGGACAGACCTCGTATATACCCTAAGAAGCCTGCTGTGGCTTAGAGACTTAATATCAGTATTTTCTCTTTCCAGACCGTTACGAGACTGGCTGCACAGAAAGCTCGGTGATTCATCCGACAGTGATAATGGGCTTGCTTCAACTGGCAGCACTCCATCCAAACCAAATATGGAAAAATCCAAGTATGCCAATATGCCTGAATTTAAGAGTTGGACAATATTTCACATGTTTATGTAGCAGCAATATACACTGCATAGTGCATGCGCTAACCTGAAATATTTTCCAGCTTCCAATTTGATACCTAGCATGCACACAGAGTTATTTACTTTGTTTTACTTTACTGTTTTGTTCCTTATAGACCCAAGATGCATTGCATTCCTCAATTTTCTGTGCTATCTCAAGGAGACCAGTGGACAAAGTCCAAGCCCCAGCAAAAGCCTTCTAGTAATTACAATCCTGTAGAGATGTCTGAGTTACTGAAAATTAAGGTAATAGACATTGATCTCCTCATTATTATTATTAATTTTTCTTTCTTACTGGTGACATGTAAGTTAATCTCATGGTTGCAGCCACTAAAATGACAGTTTTCCCATTGATGTGCTGGCACTGAAATCTAATTATCACAAAATAGGAAATTGTTTCCAGACTCCCTGTAATGTTATTTTCTGACTAAAACCGTGGCATACTTACATTAGTCGGTGCTGTTGGTGTTTGAACAGGATTGTTTGTTGTTTGGTTTCCTTTTCTTGATACACACTTGAAATCGTGTCAGCATGTCAAAGGTTAATCTTTTTCATCCAAAATAGTTGTGATGCCAAAATGTAAAATCCTATGCATTTTGTTTTGCGGTTGACACTAAGCACACTAATACAAGTACTTCTTGATAGGTTATGTGTAAAGGTGTGTTTTATCCGTAATCTTAAATGAACACTATAGTACCAGGAAATCAAACCCGTTTTCCTGGCACTATAGGGTTATTAGGTCCCCCCTCCCGCTGGGCTGTAGGGGTTAAAACCCCTTCAGCCACTTTCCTTAATCCAGCACCGGGCTCCCTCGACGCTGATGACCTCTCCTCCCCCTGCCGACGTCAGCTCCTGAGTGGAGCCAAATGCGCATGCGTGACCAGAGCCGCGCGCACATTCAAACCGGCCATAGGAAAGCATTGCTCAGTGCTTTCCTATGGAGATCTGAACTTGCGCTGCGTGAGTTCAATGCGATTTTCTCACTTAGAATCGTGGAAGCGCCTCTAGTGGCTGTCAGGGAGAGGCTGAGAGGCTAGAGGCTGGATTAACCCTGCAATGTAAACATAGCAGTTTCTCTGAAACTGCTATGTTTACAGCTACAGGGTTAAAACTAGAGGGACCTGTTACCCAGACCACTTCATTGAGTTGAAGTGGTCTGGGTGCCTATAGTGGTCCTTTAAGCATATAAATATATATAATTTTTAACTGTGTTTTTTTTAGAACCAGAACCTTAAGTCCAGTAGTAAAAGACTACATCAAGACTCTCCAAACCAAAAGAAGAAATCAAACGGGGTCCACAATCAATCAGTCAAGCCACAAAATAGCAATACAGTAAGCTTATTCTATGATGATCTTAATGTCCGAATATGAACGTGTTAAGAGGAGAACATACACCAATAAATCTAGGCACATGCTTTTAGAATTCCATTTAAGCAGCTCTGTTGCCTCCTGGGGAATTTTCATATCTTGCGAAGACCTCAGTTGGTGACTGGTCTCTGTGCATTCTTGTGGCAATGGCGTACAAGGAAACATAGTTTTTTTACTTGCCTGACTCTGTTGCTTGTGGGTGCTGCCATGTTATTCATTGATATCCTCTTCAGCTCCTGGAACTCAGTGACAACTGAGGGCGTGACAAAGCTTGATGGAGATATCTCCACATTTTGTCAAATATAGGAAAAACATATGACAAAGAAGCCCCTAAGTTGTCTTATGAAGTCTTTTGACTGGGTTGGCATTTCAGTGAAATCTCTATAGAATTTTTATATTTTCATTTATATGGTTTGCAGGGTAAAGCCCAGTAAAGCATACAAATGTGTTCACTCTCACAGTGCCGTGTGCACAGTGCATGTGTCCATTTGGCATTGTTGGAGTAAATGCTACCTGTATGCACATGGGACTTCTGCAATAGATGCACAAGCGCACATGCAACCAAGACAACAAGGTACAGTGATTTTGCTGCAGCACAGAGGTAAATAAGTGTGTGTATGATTTATTTATCCATCATCTGTTCTAGCGTTAGTGGGGTGAAGGTACATGGAACTGTCACTTTTCTTGAAATGATAGTTCTGATTTAAATTTGTATGACTTAAAGGAACACTATAGCTTTAGGAATACGAATATGTATTCCTAACGTTAAAGTGTCCTGCTTGTTGTATAAGCAGGCAGCCCTCTTTGGAAGGAGCAAAAAAGTGGTTTGGTTACTATTTCTCCCATGCTGCTGTGCTCTCTCCGCAGCCAGTCCCACCTCATTCCCTGAGACCATCAATCTTGAAGACCTCGACCAATCCAAAATTTTCCCTTATGAAACCATTGGGAGGCTAGTGTGCATCTGAGGCCAAACACAGTGCTGAATCAATCATATGGTATCTATGAGACCCTAGCTTGGCTATTTCAGAGGAAGTGCCTCTAGTGGCTGTCAGTGTGAAACCCAGCAAAGCAAGCGTTGCCATTCCTGCAAAACTAGTGTATTTAGTTGCAGGGTTAAAACGACATGATTATGGTAGTCAAACCATTTTCTCTCAATGCCTATAGTGTGCCTTTAATGCATGCTTTGAATCCACTATTGGAAGGTAACTTCTAGTTACATGTGTAAAACTGCAGAACTAAAAACGTATTTTATTTTTTAAAAAGCACACACTTGCATCAGTGGTTTTTAATAAACTGAATTCTAAAAACCGTCGTATATCGGTAATCTATAGAGTTGTGAGAAAGTGCTGTGTGCTTTATAAGGCATAGCATTTTCTTTCCCTGCTCAGCTCACCTCTGATCAATGGATAGAAATCATAGCATGGCCACAGATCCATCAAGTTCACTATATGGTTTTGACGACTTTCCAAAATCTCTAAATCCTGGTGAATTTCAAAATAAATGAAGCTTTGTTCCCTATCTGTTTATTTATCAGTGTGCATTATTACATGTGTAGAGTCAGGATTACATAATTATTTTCTAGTTTAATTTGCATGCAGTTATGTCAGTCAACTAAAGAAATACAAAGCATAGTTGACCAAGCAAAATGATGTATGTGTAGTATTTTGATCTATTTTCCATGTGATAACTGGCTTTATGTTTATAAATGCATTATTTCTTTATAGAAAACAGAGAGAAAACTTAACCCCAGAAGACTTAATGATACCTTTGACGGGGGTACGTATGATGCAATACCTTAAATACATGTTGCTGGCTAACAAGGAAATCCGTTAATTGTCTACCTCCTTCTTTGATTGTAAAGCCCCATGGACATTTATATTGTTGTCCATATTGCCAAGTGTAGCCAATCTGTTCTTTACAAGGGGTGGAGGAGGGGAGTCTATTTTCTGTAAGTGGTGTGATGTAGTCCTCTCCCATTATTATGGTTTTATGGACTAAACAGAAAACATATTTAACATGTTATTCTGTTTTCATATTGAAAGATTGCCACACTTTGAGTAACAATTTGGTTTTGGTAACCACACCAGAAATGCTGACTTATTACTCTGTGATTGTCTGTTATTTTATTTAACGTGCACCTTTCATGGTAAACACAACAAGATGACATATAATAGGGTATGTTAACTTGTAGTTTCTTTTGCTGACTGTTTGCCTTGTCCTGTCCCACAGACTCTGTGTTTGATAACTTCTCCCTCAGTGAAGAGCAGCAGAGTGATCCCTCTGAAGATATGTCTGATAATTGTAATGGAAATGTTCCATTCACTTTCTCATCAAAAGCTTTCCTGAGCTTCCGGTTTGACCGGGAGGCCATCATGAAATCCTGTGACCTCTGACCTGCCAGCAGCTGTACAAGGTTCACAAGTGCTGAGAGCTTAACAAGCCTTATCTTCCTCAGGTTTTTGTTGGTTTTAAGGACTTGCAGGGTTCACTGATGGTTTGGACAAGTTATTTTGTAAGCACATGTTGTTATACTTTGTAGCCCTGTTACATTCAATTTTCTATTCTTTTTTTTTTTTTTCCCCTTGCACTGCATTTTGCAATATCACATTTTTTTACACAGAATTACCTTTTCAGTGTTCGACTTGACTCTTTTCATTTTTTTTATTTTTTACTTTTGACTGTCAGAAGGGGAGGGTGAGAAGTGGAGTGCTTATGTCTGGCACTCAAATAAGTTAATTCATGTTTAGAGGGCATTTTCCAGTTTTTTTTATACTCCCTGATATAGATGTGACCTAATTATTTACTGCTTGAATGTAACCTGCAATCTGGGGCTTCCTTTTAAGTCATATATCCTTAGCAGATACTGTGTTCAAATGCATCGCACACCATAAGACAGGAACCTCATCAGGTTAAAAGGGGTTAAGTTTATATTCAGGGCTGGAGAAATCCCTGTGTCTGTATAACTCCTCCTGTCTGTTCTCACCATTTCTGATAGAAGTGGATATTGTTTAAATGAGGTTTGTATACAGTGTATGCCCTGTTCCTAGTAACACTTCATATCAAGATGTGATCAGAAAAAAAAGTTCTATTTTACATTTTTAAAAATTGGTACAGGTTTGGAAATGTTATTTTTAAATTTGTGAACATCATTTTCCTCTTTTGGGAAAAGGATAATGAGATTTCCAGAACTGCATTTTAATTTTTCTGGTGTGTTTTGTTCTTTAATTAACTACAACAATGGTAAAAGCTGAGTGAGAGTTAGTTGAAGAATTTTAAATATCCCCAGAAATCAATCTTGTATTGATTATCAAAATACATGGACATATCATCATCATCATCTATTTTTTTTTTATTTTTTTTTTACATTTAAACAAGCATTCATATCACCTTTCAAGCCTACTTTCTCTTTATCCTATGCAGTTGTATGTAGCAGATAATTGTCTATGTACCAAGACAGATCATTACATATATAAGCATGTGTTTGTATGTTGTTCATGCTTTCAATTAATAATTATAAGGCGCTCTGAATCTATGAAATTGTATGCTTGTCCACCCCACGCCTGGTTTATTACGCCTTTAAACATACTGTAATACACCAGTCACTGGTTTACATCTATTCATATAGAGATTCAGTTATTTTGATAAGTTATACACACCAAAATTGTTGATTAAAGATTGCAAGTCCTAAATGGTTACTCCATGCACCATGACCACTTCATTTATTTGACATGGTCATTGTTCCTAATGTCTGAATGTGAAGAGTTTCGCTATGAAATGCTGCACATACAGAATCTAACCCCTTTGCTGTAACTCCACCTCCTGGAGCATCATTGGGGCATCGTTAGAGTCCCTGGCTTACCGATGTCAATTCTGTGCATATTTCTATGAATAGGGTTGCATTCATTAATGAGTGAGGTCACCATGAGACTCACAGCCAATGAATGGCAACGAGATCTGCATCTGGCTTCTGCGACTCTGTCGAAGCAGGATACACGTCAATGGCCATAGAGGACCCTCTGCACAGGGAAGAGACCCATGTAAGAGGGTAAAATGGGTTGCCCTATTACCGGAAAATGGGACCAGGGTCCTTCTGGCATCATAACCACTACAGCAGGCTGTAGTTGCTATGATGCTTGGAGCAACCCTTTAATCATTACCCTCCGTAACTACTTTGTGTTGTGACAGTGCTGTAAATCATGATATTTTGTGAGGACCGTGCTTTGAGATGTGATCATTAAAGGGACACTGTTGACATCATAAACACTTCCATGGATAGAAGTGGTTATGATGCCTGTAATCCATGGGAGCTGGCTCTCACAGCACTATTAAAAGGTCTACTCACCGTTTTAGTAGAGATTCTCAGTCCCCGGCAGCCTGAGGCCTGGCCTCCAATGACTGTGTGGCAGAGGCAGAACTATGTTTCTGCCTCACACCAATTTATACCTTGGATGACTGGCTGAGAGCGCTTATGTGACACACTCACTCTCACAATCACTGCCAACTATCTCTGGTATGGAATCAAGCAGAGTATAGCTCCATTTCCACCATATTGTCATTGGAGGGCAGGCTTCAGGCAGCCATTGACTGAAAATTTCTACTAAACAGTGAGTAAATGTTTAGAAGTGATGTGGAGCCTAGTGTCCGCTGACTCACTTTCCATAACCACTTCAATCCATTGAAGTGATTTATGGTGCTTACTGTGTCCCTTTAATGCCTTTTATTATGGTTCTGACTTAAATGCTCCATAGATTTTATTATAACAGCACTGTTTGAATTTGGATCTGGCTTACTAATGGCCTTGATTTAATAAGCTTTCCAAATGACTCAATGCTATTAGAAAATCGTTCCTAATTATTTACCTACAGAAGTCCCCATTAGAGTCTTTGGGAATTGTTGTAGCTGAATCATTTGGAAAGTACTCTAACAATATTGACTCATTTAGAAAGCTTATTAAATTGATGCCTACATTTGGTTAAAACAATGGAAGATCCATCCCTTGAAATTTGTTGACATTTCTTTAGTCTGCTTATTACTGTGTTTATGGATATAACCCATGTACACTGGAACTAGACCAACACCTATGTTTTGTTTTCTAACAGAAAGCAAAACTCTAATTAGTTGTTCACTATAAAGTTTGATCATGGTGCCGAATAAGTGGTCTGTTCCATATTCGTATCATACAGTCCAGCTTTATCTTCATTAGAGGCTTTTAGGGTTACTTGCTAAACTGAACTGTAGCAAATAAAAATTCAAATTGCAAAATTTAGAATACTATCAAGTATGATATTTCCAAATCCGCCTAGATTTTGCCATTTAGATTTCAGTTGGCTAGAGTCGGCATGTTATGACGAACCCTGTAAGTGTTAGATTTACTAAGATTTGAAAACTGCTCACAGCAGACAGGTGCTCTGTCAAAAGTAATGAACGGCAATGATCTCTTAGTAAGCTGTTCACTATTCCTTCTGGGGTGTTTGAACGCTAAGAGGGGCTATCCGCTCTCAGAGCTGGCAGCTACGAGCACTGTATTGGTTTAAGTGCTGTTTTTGCTGTACAATGGGAAAACGAACACCTATTAATTTGTCTTCATACTGTGAACTAACACACTGTGCATTATTATGCTGAGGTATACATTTCATTCAAATACAGTTGTCTTTCCTGCACATGTTTTTAGTTTGTACTTTGATTATTCTTCAGGTTAAACAGTTTTTAGGATGTTACCATCACCAATAAAAATATAGAGTCTTGTCTTTAAGTCTCCTACAATGTGAATGTCGTCCTGGTCAGAGAGGTCTCTGTAGCACTGAAGATGGCAAAAATGTGGAAATGAATAGACTTTTTGGTGACCTTTCCTGCTCATGTGGATTATTCTTGCTTCTATCATATTTGTCTGTGTATATCTCTTACTGTACACATTGTACAGTGTGTATGTAGCCTTTGCAGTGTACCCTAGCTATGATAATCCATCATATCAAGAGGCTGACCTACTCATCGTTGCTCTGTTGTGTTAAAATCATTGCTATCCTTTGTGTTTCCTACAGCAAAAACTTCATAACGAAACAGCAATAAAGGTAATTTATTAAAACATGCTTGAATTATTTGAATCTGGTATGTTTCGACTAGGATTTGTTTTTTTATCTATTTATTTTATAAATGTCCTCTGTGCGACTCCAGACCGTGTCCCCTTTTTTGGCTTTTGTACAATTTCTTTTTCTCGCAAGTACTAAGGTTCTAGACACCTGGATGAGTGTTTGAGTAAAGATTTGTTTATTGACCATAAAGAACATGCCAGCCATCAGCTCTTCATGGGTTAGCATTGCCAATGGAGAATTTAAGCAGCAGTCTGCACATACCATTGATTGAGGCTATTATTTGAAAAATATGTAATTTATGTAATTTTCATTGAACTGAGTCTCTCTTTCCAGTTTGAGCATGGGGACAGCTGGGATTCTCAAAAAGATTTTTTTTTTTGGCTACCTCAAAGACCTCCACCCCATTGAACATTTATGTAATTCAATGTATTTCTTTAATATTCCAATTTTGATTTGGAATATGCTTCAAACAGTTAAACAACTAAAATACATTGGGAAAGAATTGTGTCTGAAAAACGTATAATTATAAAGGGAGGATTACTTAGTGATGGCTAAATATTTTTTGAGGTGTGTTTTAAGGATACCAAGGATATATAGTTTAGTTTAAGGATGATAAGACTTGTCTATTAAAGGGGATATGTCTCTTCAATTGTTTTTAATGATGTGTACTAATCCCTATTAGTAAGAAATATGTATTTGTGAGGTGTGAAAAATACAATTTAAATGTAGAAATCCACGCCACTTGGGCTCCTCCATCTTCGCTCTATGTCAATGATTGTTAGACGCTTTGTCTTGCATCTGGCAAATAATATAGGGAAATAATACAGGGAAGATGCGGGGATGTTTATCAATGTGTTCTGAAAAGTGACAAATGCTGTCATTATTTTCATTATTTCACACTATAGTCACCAGAACAACTACAGCTAAATGTAGTTCTGGTAAAAATAGTTGGTCCTTGCAGGCTTTTTGCTGTAAACACTTTTTTTTTTCTTTCAGAAAAAATGCATTGTTTACATTAAAGCCTAGGAGCACCTCTTGTGGCCACTCCTCAGACGGCCCCTAAAGGTGCTTTCTGCATCAGTGTGCAGCACTGACGTTCAGCATGGAGACACTAAGCTTTCACCATAGAGAAGCATTGATTCAATGCATCTCTGAGGAGATGCTGACTGGCCAGGGTGGTGTTTGGCTCCGCCCCTGCGCTGCCTCTTTGGCTGAGATTATCAGAATTGACTATCTCAGCCAATTTCCTATGGGAAAGCATTGTGAAGCAAGGTAGCAGATCGGGGGCAGACCCGTGCGGCGCTGGAAATAAGGAGAGTTTGAACCCTTTTTAAGGGGGCTGTGGACCTAAATGATGTTTTAACACTACAGGTTCAGGAATACATGTTTGTGTTCTAAAAGTGATCTGAAAAGTGACAGTTTTTTTTAAATAGTGAATTCTGCCAGTTTTCACAGAAATATTAATTTCAAAAGGCAAATAAAATTTGAGTGGCTTCCATTAAGCATTCAAATCTATTCAAATATACACGCAATGAAAAAACATGTATGAATTGCAGGTGTATTTACTAAACCGTGATTTCTATTTTATGTTTTCTCTGCCATAGTTGTTTTATAAAAAATATTCGGGAAATGAAAAGCTTTAGACAGTATATAGTGTACCTTATCTTTCAATAATAAAGTATAAATGAGGGTGAGGAAGGATCTATAGATTTCATACTGCAAAATACATGACAATAAAAACAATTTGTACTAAATTCTTATATTCAAGAAGTTAAAGGAATACTCTAAGGTTACAAAAATAAATTTGTATCCGAACAGGATTTCTTTTATTGCTTCTAGGCTATATTCACCCCTTTAACAAATTAAGGACACGTGGAGGAAATTTTCCACCGTCCCTAAGGGGTTCAAAAAATAAAAAAAAATAAAAACTGCAAACCTCCCTCCATAGATGTTGGTGGAATATGTCTCTTTCTGTGTTGCGGTAATATTTTTCCCCATGTCAATTTCAACTGTCTTCAAATTAAAGGGTTTTTTTTTGTATTCTATATTTTGGGGGGTTTGAACTGTTTGCACTCGGACTTAATATCCTGTAGTAAGTGTAGAAAATATTTATAAAGTATTTGTGAGGTGTTCACACAGTCATGTGATGTAATATCAGGCAATGATAAGTCCTATTATCATTAGAGGTTATTTATTTTAGTGTGTTAAAACCTCCCTCACGTGCACTGAAGTGTTAACGTTTGTTCCTCCTGGGACTATTGTAGTTTGGCCACTTTCTTTAAAGAACACTTCAAGTAATATACAGGATTTTTTTGTAGGAGAACTCTCCATGTAGTATCTCAGTATAGAAGAAGGGGAGGGGTATTTTTTAGAAGGTTTCAACAGCTCATATTATGGGAAAATCCTGTGTACATGAATGTAACCCTGCTGTGAGATTGATTTAGATACCAAAGAAAACTTTGATTATTTGTCTCTCCTTTCTAAATTGATTGTGCGCATGTCTTCTGGAAGTAAATCACACCGGACACATTGCAGGTTTATGAAGAACTCCAGAGTAGCCTTTATTCCAGGGGGTGCAATTCCCTTTTAAAGCAGAAATACGTCATGTACAGAGTCACAGTTAACCTACAATATACATTCATCAATCACATTCATCAATATACATTCAGAATTCACCCAGACACAGACTATTTACACATATTTATTTTATACAAGTATTTATCTGCTGTAGAGAAACTGGACCACCAGCAGACGGTGACACCTATCATGTCTCTGAGTAATCATGATACATTTTTCAAGCTTCAGGCATATGAAGCAGAAGGAGAACTGGGGAATACTGGAAGGGGAGGAGCAAAGCACAAGTTAGGATGTACCTGCATCTCTCGGTAGTGGTGGCTTTTTATAGACTGCCACCATACTACGCCTTATCTAGGAAAGCTATCAGTGTATATATTGCTGCCCTTTTAACAATATATGCATGGTTATTTTATTCCATTTAGGATACTCTGGTACTCTGTACATGGATTTGGCAAAATACAATTAATGTTGTAAAAAGAATGACTTGACATAGGCATAGTTTAAGCCTGGACCTCAAAGTGGGACCCCAGTTTTTATAGACTGACAACTTCAATGCTTCATTGCCAGCTTTAAGTCTGGGAAAGCTTCACAGGAGGTTTTTACAACAATTGGGGTTCTGCCTTTTGGTCACTTCACATTTAAACATTCATTCTGGTATGTATGCTATACCAATCGCCTTATACATTGCCACTAATACATATTTTATGTTTCTATTACTGTGGATTAGCTTTATGACAATCACTAGGATGCACTGCTATTTCATATAAAAATCACTTACCCCTTGTTAATAATATGTTGGGAAGATTGACAAATGTATGTGTATATTGTAATCCAATAAAACAAGTACCATCATTAAGTTTGTTTTTGTGTGTATTTGATTAAACATATAAAATTAAGAAGCAACACAAAACTAACTTGCTGTAATGCTAAATGTGTAATTTGAGTGGTGCATGGCTTCAGACAAAAAAAAAATAATCAAATTTCCTTTTGAGTGTAGAGGGTGGTAGTATTGTTTGAGTTGATGTAGTATAAGGTTTGATAGTCATCTTGATTAAGACAGGGTGGATAGAAAGTGTATAGAGTTCGGGTAGTAAAGGGTGTATAGTAGTGACAGTCGACCCGATCCCTATCACCCACTAGTGGGCGATACAAGCTTTCATGGTGGGCGGTGGTGGGTTTTACACACATGCCTCCCTCCAGCCATTGAGAAAAACCTCACAAAAGCACCCAACATGAATGTGTGAACTGTTTTCTACATCTCTCTCGATGGCTAAAAGGAAGCGCATGTGCATGCGTGTTAGCCGCTGTGGAAGTGACAAAATCGCAACTTGCCATCACTCAGTGGAAGGCAGAACATGGCTCTCGTTTTGTTGCATTAGATGATAGTGTCATACAGTTTTGAAAGTAATGAGGTTGATCTCTATGAAGAATTAAAAACGGTAAAGAATGCCTTTTATCTGGCAGACATTTTCTAAATATTTAATTACATTAATTTGTAGCCTTAAGGAGCCAATATAACTCTTTACATTGCAAAAATAGTCTAACTATTTATTGAAAAGCTTGATCTAGTCTTTTGAAGAGCGAATTTCATCAGTTTTCTGAATTGTCATCTATAAAAGATGATGTAACTCCATAGGAGATTGAAAGGTTTAGTAGCCGCCAAAACAAACTCAGATTGGATATGGAAAAACGATTTAAATATATTTTGAACTTGGTGTATGACTGGATGGTAAATCCTTTCAGAGCAAATTTTTCTGAGGTTCGTATAACTTGCCAAGAAGAACTATTAGAACTTGATGAAGAGAGTAAATGTAATTTTGGCAGTGGTGAATACCAAAATCTCTGGCAATAAAAAAAATACATGTATTGTGTCCAAATATGTGGAAAATGATATTCAATTTATTGATACGTTTCCTACCACATTTCTTCTAGAATCAGGGTTGTGAATCATATCACCAAAACTGTCTGCATATCACCGAAAGATGAACCCTTCATTTTTCCTCACACAAATCAAACCAGATATCAAATCAAATTTAGTCTTGCATCATCAGCCTCAAGGACCTCATTAATTATCAGTTAAGGTAAATTTCAATAAACTTTAACTTTCTTCTTCTTCAATTTAATCAGCTCCCGTGCTTATAGGTACAGCATAGATGGAGATGTGGAAATGCATAAAATTTACATTATATCTGTATAAACATGCATAAAGTAGAAATACAAATATACATTTCAGTTGTTTTTTTAATCCTCTCAAATATATGTTGCATTCTCGCTAAAAAATGTAGTTACTGCAGCACCGGTGGGTGGTAAGGAAATTTTACCACCAACAAAGATACATTAGTGAGTGGTAGGTAGTAAAAGGTTGACTACTCCTGGTGTATAGAATTGGTTGAGTTACAGTAATGAAGGTGGATTGAGTTAGTTTGATTGAGGGTGGAGAGGGGTGGAGGAGGACCTCAATAGTCACCATTCCAGAGCCACCTGTCTGCATTTGCAATATTGGCAGACATAACATAGTGAACTGAAATGTTAGAGCAGGAAGCCTATTTAATAGTAACATGATAAAAATAAAATAAGCAACCCAAAGTATGTCTTTGTGTGGATTGTTCCTAGGTAATGGTCCAGGAAGTGGGAGAACCGCTCATAGTAAGTAGTATCATTGCAGGAAATTGTCCATACGGGCTATGGCTATCAAGTGCATCTAGATGTTGGTATATGTTTGGATTCTGCCCTTTGAGGCATATCACAGTTCCTGCAGCAACCTCAGCTCCTCCCTCTTTGAGAACATAGTGATAAGGAAGGCACCACTTACCACCTTCTAAAAAGAGGAAATATTTACTTAGCTGTGTTTAAAATGCAAATCGTTACAAATTTTTTCATGACTGGGTTGTCGTGTGATGGAGGAGAAACTGAGTCAGACAGAACTGCTGTGGTTTTCCAATTAACTTCTGAATGGCAGAGGCTACACTTCTCCATAAGTGCACAATGTCTGGGCATTCCACCGTATGTGAATAAATGTTCCTGGTGATCGCTCATCTCGAATGCAGACCATCTAGTACTGTCTGAAGGCCTGGAGTCATGTACTTAATGTAGGTATTATTTTGTAGGCTGTTTCTGGGCAGAGGTGAATAGTTCCCCTGTTTTCATTTGGAATTGAAAATAGGGGTAGCAAATTTTGTATGTGTTGCAAAGTGGCATGCAGCCAAGGGTTTCATGTGGTGGTAGTGTGTCAGGGTCCATGAATTAATTTGCATGGTATGTACCATCTGTGCAAGGAAGCCCATTATACAAATTAAATTGTCTAAATAAATGGCACAGTCCAAAGCTAAATTTTTTCATCAATATATTAAAAACCAAACTAAATATTAAATTATTTAAAAAGCTTACCCAGGTAGCCTTAGGTAGATACCTAGTTGTGGGAAATACTTGAGAGTGAAATTGTAAAATGTCATTGTTTTGTATCGGGTTAATTTATATGTAAACCTATTTTATCATAAATATACAGCAATGACAAGAAAGCATGCATGTCACAGAAAATTGATTTAAACTAAAAAAAATTGCTTAAAATAATTAATTTTGATATTTTCTCCAATGAGCTACTTTGGCATAAAATGTTGGCTTCCCTGAATATTACCTAAAAAGTCTTTTTGTTTCTACTTCGTGGATTTAGTTTAATTTTAGTGAAGTTAACGTTCTGAAACTAACAAAACACAGAATTCACCCAGACACAGACTATTTACACATATTTATTTTATACAAGTATTTATTCTGAGTATAAGAACATTTTTAAAATAAACATATTATAAATTGCTCTGTATAAATAAATGCAGTTTTAGGTTTTTTTGTATTTTTTTTCTCTCAATTTTGTATCAAATTAACATAAAATGACAAACTGACAGAAGCGGGAATATTAAGGAAGGCATTGGAACATTTAGACAGGCTGCAGCAGAGACATCCCAAAAGTATCTCTCTCTCTAAATATGATGAGGAAGTTGTACTCCCATGACACCTTCCTCCATAGGCTGGCTAAGCATCATATGAGTTGTAGATCCATATAGTGACAGAGGTGCTTGTTGGATGCCAAATGGAACCAAATATAAGAGTTGTATTACATTCTAAATAGCAGACAATACTGACAATGATCACTGTGAGAATACATTCAGACGTGCGAAGCCTGACATGGAGATCAGAAAAAAAAGCAAATTAACAGAGAAATTTGAAGGTTGTACTAACCATGCAGTACCCCGAAACACAAAGAATATTTTATAAACAAATCTCAAAATCTAGATGAGATAAAAGATTCTCATGGAGAAAAACCATTGCAGAGGCACCAGTTTAAAGGGACACTATAATCACCAAAACAACTAACTTAATGAAGCAGTTTTGGTGTACAGATCATGCCTCTGCAGTCTCTCTGCTCAATTCTCTGCCATTTAGGAGTTAAACCACTTTGTTTATGAACCCTAGTCACACCTCCCTGCATGTGACTTGCACAGCCTTCCTAAACACTTCCTGTAAAGAGTAATCTAATATTTACCCTTCCTTTATGGCTAATTCTGTTTAATTTAGATGTTTTTATGTAATCCCTGTAATTTCTTATGTAGCCTCCTGTATGTAATTAAAGTTCAATTTACCGAGCAGGAGATAAAATCTTTGAAGGTAAGTTACATCTGATTGATTTTATTTTTTTTTAAAACATGCAGGCTGCCTCAGTCAGAGCCACGGGAGGTTTGGCTAGGGCTGCATAATCAAAAACAAAGTGATTTAACTTCTAAATGGCAGTGAATTGAGTCGTGAAAATTAAGAGGCATGATCCATACACTAAAACTGCTTCATTCAGCTAAAGTTGTTTTGGAGACTATAATGATCCTTTAATTAAAAGCCCTTTGCTCCTGGAACACAAGAAGCTATGATGTTTGCCTACTGATTTTTATTTTTCAGATTTTCTTTTTTACATTTTCTAAAGTCACAAACAATGAAATACCATGATTAACGTCTGATGTCACCTTGCCTTGGTTTATATTGAATTCACACAGGAAGGATACAAAACGAATTGGAGACTTTAGGGACAGTATTAGCACACTATCAACACTTCAATAAGATGAAGTGATCCCTTTAACTTTCTGTAGCAGTCCTGAGCTTTTCCAATAAACAGTGCTTTACGGGCAAATCAAGATATGGCTGGAGTTATTAGGTTCAATAAAACATTTATGAATATAATCATGAAGCCCAGCAAAGCTTTCTGGGAGTTCTGGTTCGCCTAATAGCTTTAAAAAAGTAAAAGTAGACCAGAATGAGAAGCTCCTGATACATTGTGTGGGCATGTTGATAATGTAGTAAGTTGCACCATAAGCAGGAAAATGAAAAATTCTATATTATAATCGAATAACTTTACCATATATAGCAAATAAGGTCAATTCCAGTCTACTGCTCCTATTTATTAGAATTGTTTGGCTGGGAAGAAAAAGACTCTGCTGTCATTGGTACGTAATGAGAGAAAGATCAAGAAACTCCATTCTATGTCCTGCACTGACTGTTGGCAGCACGACTTAATGTCATATTCCAGTGACTGTTTACTACAGTAGAGACAGGAGAGAGAAGAGGAACAGACAGTGTGCATTCCACAACAACCGAAGTTATGTCTGCTCTTGTCAGGACAGTAGTAGGCTAGATGTAGACACTGAGGGGGAGATTTATCAAAGAGTTCTCTTCTAAACCACAACAAGAGGACATAGACTTAAATTAGAGGGGCAAAGGTTTAAAAAATAATATCAGGAAGTATTACTTTACCGAGAGGGTAGTGGATGCATGGAATAGCCTTCCAGCTGAAGTGGTAGAGGTTAACACAGTAAAGGAGTTTAAGCATGCGTGGGATAGGCATAATGCTATCCTAGCTATAAGATAAAGCCAGGGACTAATGAAAGTATTTAGAAAATTGGGCAGACTAGATGGGCCGAATGGTTCTTATCTGTCGTCACATTCTATGTAAGTGGTTAAAAAATTTAAAAAGGGAAAAGTCCCCAATAGAATATGCCTGCTGGTTTCCATGGTGATTGCACCACTTAATACTTCAGACTTCTTCTGTGAACAAAACACGTTGATGAATCTCCCCCTTTAGAGTGTATCCAAGAGTAATGTAGAGGCTAAAATTGTTCATACATGGGTCCCATTACAAGCGAAGAAAAGACAGAACACATCTCTACAGAGTAATGTTAAAAAAAACACATTCTAAATGATGGTGCCAGGCTCACGTTCTGTATATCTGTCTCATTACACTTAAAGGACCACTATAGTCACCCAGACCACTTCAGCTCAATGAAGTGGTCTGGGTGCCAGGCCCCCCAGGTTTTAACCCTCAGCTGTAAACATAGCAGTTTCAGAGAAACTGCTATGTTTACATTGCAGGGTTAATCCAGCCTCTAGTGGCTGTATTCCTGACGAAAATCGCATTGAGCACGCAGAACGTGGGCGTTTTTAATGCATGGGTGGCTCTGGCCACGCATGCGCATTAAGCTCCACTCGGGAGCTGATGTCGGAGGGGGAGGAGAGGTCACCAGCGCCCAAGGAGCCCGGCGCTGGATAAAGGTAAGTGGATGAAGGGGTTCCTTAGGGGGGACCTAAGGATTATATAGTGCCAGGAAAACAAGTTTGTTTTCTTGACGCTATAGTGATCCTTTAACACTTAAGAGAGGTCTACAAATCAACAAATCCATTAACGTTTGACCTCACAAAAACTAACTGCATGGAATAGTGCTTTACTGGCAACGCACATATGATTTTCATTAACATTTGTAGTATTTTTCTCATGGCACTTTAGCATTTGTAAATTGGAATATATATAATATATATATATATATTACAGTATTAGACAATACAAACAATTACATTAATCACATTTATTAGGGACAGTAAGTGGCCTAGGAGTGGAGGGTATCAATGTACGGAGGATCTAACACAGTGCATTATATGCACAATTTGTTGTGTTTACCTAGCCAACCAGACATTACAGACATTCAAAGTATGCCATAAGTTATAACTACTAAAGTGCAAATTCATCTAAAATAGTATAACTTTTTAAATAAAGGGAACCACTATCTGTCTGAGTGTTCTCTGCTAGAAGTGCCAGAACAAGGACCACAATGTAATGTGAAATACATATTGGTATACTGTAATTACTATTAGTTAAATGAATGCATTCATTTCATATTGCCTTCTCACATTCCTTGGGTTTTCTTAATAGTCGCAGGAGAGCAAATACGTAGCTTTCAGATGTTCCAATAATAATAATTAGAATAAACAGTTTACTGTATTGTATAAAAAAAAAAAAAGGCAAACGGCAGAAGAAAAATATTACTGTAAAAGAATAAGGGCAACCATTGCTTTGGCTTCAGGATCTGGTCACCGATGGTTTGGTAGAAACAAAAGAAAGTTGATTCTATTGATCTCAAACTGATTCATCTGCATGGGCTTACATGGATTTCACTTGTGAGCTTAAAGGGACACTCCAGGCACCAAAACAACTTAATCTAAATGGCTCCTGTTGCCTCCAGTTGCGATGTCTACTCTACCCCCCAGATGGGGGGAGTGCAGATTTCAGCCCACCATAGAGCCGCTGATTGGCTGAGAGCGGTCAGCTAACGCTCTCAGCCAATCAGCAGCGCCCCTGCCCGGCGGCCCTCCACGTTTCCTAAAACTAATAAGGCATTTTAGTCAAAAGGCTATGAAATTGAAATTTAGTTTTAGTCATAGTCTGCCAAAAGTAACACTGCACAGAGGGGCTGTGGAAGGGGCAAAAGAGACAGATCAGGGCTTGGGAGAGAGACACCTAGAGGGGCTGGGAGGACACAAAGAGACAGAGAAGCTGGAAAAGGGGCAAAAAAAGAGACAGATAGAAGTGTTATTTAAAACCATTTGATTTTAGTTGTGTTGACTAAAATCGACTGGAGATTTAGTCGACTAAAACTAGACTAATTCAATTCAGATGACAAAAATACAACTATAACTAAAATGGCTTTTTGAATAAAACTAAATTGAAATTTGCCGCCAAAATTAACACTGCGTACAGGGGCTTTCTGGCACCAAAACAACTTTATTTAGATGAAGTTGTTTTAGTGAACGGAGTTGTCCCTTTAAGACCCAGATTGCATTTTCACCACCAAACGATGTGTCACACTGCACACTTGGTCACCATATACTTGGCACGGGTCTCCCCTTACACACAATGTTGTCTATTTAGCATTTCACCACTCACATGCAGAAACTACGAATTGTGAGCATGCATGGACATGAATGCATACAATTGTAGGTTTGTCAATTCAGATATAGGTGAAAAAACAACTCGATCTTTTTTTCAGCCAAACAATTTCTGTGGAAACTGTTAATCAGCTTTTTCCCACGATAAAGCACATGCGAGCATCAGATTTCAGTATTGTTTATGAAGTTTTTGTGCCTGGATTAAACTATTTGAAATCCACGTTCCTAGCTGGTAATGTAAGTGGGCCCAGTGACACTGGCTTAGTGTTACCCCGCTCCAAAACAAAGGTGCAATTGATGAGGTTTCTTTTAAACCCTAAGCAACCAATGGCAGAACAGAAAGACAGTTGTCTTGTACGTTATGAAGACACATAGATTGGCTAATATTTTAACTTGAACACATCATTAAAAAAATAGTCTCTGAATATAGTTTGACAGCTCCCACCCTCCCCACCCCCAGTAAAAAAGGAAATCATATCATTTCTACTCACAGTGTATATAAAGAAACAAAAACATTCTGTCTTATAAGAACTGAAGGATATGGTTGTACTGAACACCCCTCTGGCAGAGCAGAAAAGGCATTGTGATGTATTGGTATATGCTTGCTGGAGGTTAAATATGTCAGTTTGTGTTTGTTTTGCTGGTACTGATCATGGAACTGCACCTTGCAGTGTTCTTAAAAGCTTTTTATGAATATCCTAGATTTATTAAAGTGAAACAAAATGAAGGTGCATCTTCGCTCTGCAGCAACGTTATTTTGTGTTAGATTCAACACTCCTGCACCGCTCATACATCCTCGCATTATCCCGCCGTGCACTGAATTCCATATTTGGCACACACCGTGTTAACAAATAGAACACAGAGGATAAGTCGGTACTGCCTCAAAAGGATTTTGAATTTGAAGGCTAGAGCTCTGTTTGGAGCATCCCAATTAGTCATACATGTTCCTCCCACAATATGATCTGTATAGAGAAACATATGTACAGCCAGCCATAGGAAAGATCTGACTGCCAAAGTACAATGCTTTCGGTGGGGACAAGGAAACACTGGTCTGTGTAGCGGACATATCCATAGCCCAGGTTTGGCTCCTTAGGATGGCTTACAATGGCACAGGCTTGAGTTAGGTTCACAGTGATGTCTCATTGGTATGAGGTCTTGAATTCTCCTCCTCTAGTAAAGCTATTCTTTGCTTCAACATCCGCACTTGTGTCTCATGCCGCTCCACCATCGCCATCATCTGGGACTCCAGCTTCTTCAGCTTGTTTTGATGTTTCTTCTTTGCTTTCTCATAAGCAGCAACAAGGTTACTGTTAAATGACAAAACAGATCATTAGACTAAGTCAAGCTGCCTGGATACTGTCTTACTGCCTGTAAGAGCAAACATTTTGAAAAAAGCTGTAATATTGCCATCAGCAGTCATTCCTTTTTAGAGAGAAGGGGTTTCTGACAATGTAGAAGTGACTAGCATTATACGGTGTACGTTAAAGGTTCTCTATTCTGGTACCCGTCTCATATGGTTTCAAACTGTACGGTACTCTAGCACTGGATCCAATCATCAGGTATTTGTACTTATATGAGATGAATAGCTCCCAATTTAAATCTTTTGGCCATGATTGATACAATTTCGCAAATCTGATATTCACCTGAGCATGTTGATCACCCAAGCTGGAATTCTAGAACCTGCTATATTTTTTTCACTGGGAATTTAAGAGGCATATTACCTGTTGGCTCGTTTCAGATCATTAACAAACTCGGCAGATTGCTGGTGTCGAACTTCGCTGCTCCTTGTCAGTCTTTCTAAAGCACTCACCAGCTCCTGAGCTCTTGATTTCAGCTTTTTCTCCCTGTAATAAGGGTTAATAATAAAGATGATGACACTGCACACTGTAGGAGACCTGGAATACAGTTGTAAGAAAGACTTCCCTAATACATCTAAAATACAGACTAAATGGTTATTAGTCCATTCTATAATAACTGGCTGTTCCTTCATTTGGGTTACCATTTAAAATGTACTGAGATGAGCCAGTTCAATGCAATAAATAGTAAACCTCTCTGAATTGCAAAAATAAATGTATTTCCTATTTCAGTCCAGTAAGTGTCAGTGTTTCCTTTTTGTAAATCAGCAGCTTGTGCTTTATATTGCTCCATAACGTTACATTCAGCATGATGTTATGTAAAAAAGGATGGATTCTCCTTTAAACAGAAGACAATTATGGGACACATGGGAAAATGTGTGTGTATATAAATAGAGAATACAATAGATATATATACACATACTCTGTATGTAGATGGGTGCACTCACGGTCTTTAAATAAAAAGAACTTTTATTCCAAAATAGTTAAAAACATATGATGATCCTGATCCCATTAGAAACGTTGATCCTGTTTTTAACTACATACAGAGTTTGGATATTGGAGCCCTGGTAGTGCACCCTGCCACATTATTCACCTGCAGCCTGAGTGCACGGAATTCTATATATATGCACAATGAAGTGGGCACTCATAGGACTTTAAAAAAAACAACAACTTTTAATCTATGAACCACATCACACTGCGCATCATCAACATTTCGGACCTGAACTTGGTCCTTTCTCAAGTCTTGATTTAAAGTCCTGTGAGTGCCCACCTGCTTGCTTTATTCGATAAAGATCGTTCCATGTAGAGATTGTAGCCTATTTGTCCAGTGATTATGTTTTTTTACACACACACACATATATATATACACACACACAATAGATATATTCACACACACACTATATATATACAAACACACAATATATATATATATATATATATATATATATATACACATACACACACACACTAGATATATGCACACATATATGCACGCAGATACCTAAAATTTCAGGAAGGTTATGTATTGATACATCTGAACAATAACTTAATAAACTGCTAACACTACTGAGTTAAAAGGGAAAGAAGAGAAAAATATAAATCTCTTCATCATATTGCTGTGTGTATAAATATATTGTGATGTGTTTTTGTGTCTCTCATATTGTGAAGTGTGTGTGTCTCTCTCAATATATTGTAATAGTCTATAACACATGCCTACACAGCCCCTCCCCTCCCTCCCCAGTCGTAAATACCTTCATTGACTGTTCTATCTCTATTCCTCAGGCCTCACTTCACAATCAACTCAGTGAAGACTGCATTTTTTTTCTCCCCACTTCCCACCCACCCAGGCTCCCCTTAAATATATAGCATGCTCCTCCAGCTGTTCGAGATTCTCACCCAATTACCTGTTCTTTCCCCTAACATCTTACCAATAGCTGCTTCTCTGTTAACTCTTTCAGCCATCACCTCCAAACTTCCCCTGCTACCCTTTGTCTCAAATCCCCCTGGTATCCTTTAGATTGTAAGCTCAAGGGCCATCTAGCTAAGCACTTTGTATAAAAGAGCTCCAATGGCTAGATATCAGCTTACGGGCAGGGCTCTCTTACCTCTTGTATTTGTTTGTGTATATTGTACGTTTCTCAACTAATTGTACAGCGCTGCGGAATCTGTGTGCGCTTTATAAATTGCAATAATAAATAAATAAATAAATAATTGTGAGGTTTGTCTCCAAATGCAATATGGTATGTGTGTGCCTGTGTCTCTAAGTATAATGTGATATGTGTGTAAATATGTAATCTAAACACATACACACACATCCATTAATAAGGCAGAGTTTTGCCTTCAGATATTGATTTCATGAAGGTCCCTTGGGTATTCCTTTATTTGGATTATGTATGTGCTTTTGCTCTAATTTGCAGAGTAGTTTAATACTGTAAGTAAAGGTATTAATTATTCAAATTATTTCCATGACTGAGGGCTGGTTTCCATATATTTATATATAAACCAAAACCACTGTATTAAATGATGGCTGGTGGTAGATCGGGGTCGTATTTATACAACCACTCTAAGAGAAGTCATTTAATAGGAATCTTTAATCAAAGAAAGGTAGTGTTGAACGGCATCATGACATGCTCTGGAAGATAAAGGGCTGTGTGTGTCTCTTGGTAAAAACACATTTTCATATGACGAATCCCCAAGGTTCTGCACTGTGCACATTCACTGAATTGGAACATGAGCAGCGAGTATGCTGTAATTCACAATGCTTTTTGGAGATTCTGTAGCAGAAGCAAAGATTTAAATTCCATTTCCTTGAATATAATACAGGCACAGGATAGCCAGAGTAGTCTTCCTCAATAAAGAAATAGGTTTTTGTAATTTTTAAATATACATTTATAAAACATGTCTGGTTCTCATCAGAATCTAAGCTACAAAATAGATGATATCAGATGTGCCTAGGGCTGAATTTAACCCTATATGCAGCTGAAAGAAGGAAAAAATATATAAAATTACTAGTAATCTTCCTATTTTATAATTTGGGTTTAATAAAATGTGATAAAATAAACAAAACAATAACCGCCAACCCTTTATAATGTCTTATCAACTCACTAAAACTGAACTCTAAAACAGGAGAAGGTCTACGAAAAGGAGTTTAACTAGACCCGAAGCCCCCAATACACATGCGCAAGCCACCTAGTTAGCTTTTTGTACTGCTGCCAAAAGTTACTATTGTTTGAAATAACAGCCATATTTTTGCTGTGAACAATAGAAGGGAGTTCGAATTTCGTTCAGGATACCGCTGTCTGGAATAATGGAACCTGATTAGGGCTTTCTGGTCAAGCATCCTAGTGGTGACATCTCTGATATATTACATCATAGCCTAATGTTAAACATCTCTGCTTGACTTGGCAACTTCTTGCTGAGTAAACGGATGGATCAGATGGAATGTTATTTCTCTTGAGACAGTTATATTTTGCCGATTGCATTACCTCACACAGATCATACACATAGCGTATCTAACTGGACGATGCTTTACTTTCCTGGTCACTTTCTTTTGTTATCCAATTATTATCAGTGCATTCATTTTTCTTTAACCCCCTCATTGCTTTGGGTTTCATGATAACAAGTTTCAGAGACAAAGCAAGCTGATCCAATGGTTTGGGGGGCTTGCTACCCTAAATATAATAATGGTATTCTCAGACTCTGTGGTTTATTCACTAAAGTGTGAGATGTAGTAGGTTGACACCTAACTGGAACAACATTAAAGGGATACTCTATGCACCAATACAATGTTATGCCCCTGCAGTCTTACTGCTCAATTCTCTGCCATTTAGGAGTTAAATAACTTATGTTACCATTTATGCAGCACTGGCTACACCTCCATTCTCTTTGGCTGGTGCAGTTTACATGAAAAAATGAACTTTATTATGTTAGCACCCATACCTCTTACTCCAAATTAAGTAATCTGGGAGTAACTGAAAACATTAGCCTTCTGCAGTGAGAGCAATGTTTACAGGGTTAACATGCCTCTAGTGCCTTCCACACTGAAAATCACTAGAGGTGCGTCTGCCTAAAAAGCAAAGTTGATTGG